TGAACACCCAAAGGACAACTGTGGAGCACAAACTTTTTGGGTCTGCTGTTATCTATAAAGAAAGATTGCTTGCTAATATTTGTATGCAAGGATTTATTAATCAAAACATTTTTTTGGTGTATAATTTTTGCCATTTGGATGTATTCACACTTTCAATATGAATCATACTCAATCTTTTATAAATGAGACCCTGGAACTGTTCAAGAAATTCCTATCTCATTGAACTGTTGATAAGAGACTTACCAAGTCTCAGTTGAATGTAGCTTACAGAACCCAGATAGGAGCTTAAGTGTGCACCAACAACTTTAAGACAATTGTGAGCACATTGCTCACATATTGGGAGCAATGTTAAGTATATTTAAAACAAGTTTTGGATGTTAACAAAATAAACTGACAATCAAAACATGATCAATTATGAATGACTGAGTTCAATATTTTTTGTATATAATAACTATGTTACTCTGCCAGTCTATTTAAGCAAGATAAAGGGATCCTTTAATTCTTCACGTCATGAGAAAAAATGAGAGTGTGTAATTTTTATTTCTGACTGGAATTTTTCAAATTTACAGAGACAGGACCGCAATATGCCGGTCATGGAACACTCCTTTGCTCTCAAGGCCAATAACAGCAGGTCAGCTGAAAAATCCATTTAGATGTAGCAGATCCGATGTTTTTTTTTTTTTGTTTTTTTGTTTTTTTGTTTGTTTTGTTTTCGTGAACTGCAGATTCTATTTTAGACTAGAAGAGGCAGAAGATAGGAAGCTCAACAGTCTGACAAAAAAATCCCTAATTTCCATGCACAGGCGACAAACACAGTCCACATCCACTTTATAGTTAATTCGCACACCTGCGGCCAAATCAAATATGGTATTAGAAGATAGTAAAAATATGGCAGGAAAACGTGCGAAACAATAATAAATAGCACACTTACCAGTTGTGTTTAAGATGCGACTGGTCCAGAGAGGTTGTGTGAGATTTGTGTGAAAGGCAGAGAGAGGTATGACGTGGTTGGGGAAGAGCGCTCCTTCTGCCAGAGTGGCATTCCAAGGATTACAAGTAAACAGACAGGAGAAGGCACGCGCAGCGCGGCGCCGCGCCGCCGGCTCATCTGGAAGAAAGACACACCCACACCACACACACACACACCGCACACACACCCACACACACACACACACCACACACACACCCAGACACGGACCGCGTGTCTGCCAGCGCGTGCATTTATGAGCCAATCAATCTGTTTCTTGTTAGTTTGTTTCTGACCTGTCGTTATCACTATTCACTAAAAATAGAGCAGACCAGTACTGTCTTGGATATTTTGTTGTCTGTGTCTTTGTTCATTTCGACACGTCTCCATATAGTGTTTTGATTTTTTGCTATCAAAATCACAGATTTTTGTACTGTAGAAAAATATATCTTTTTCAATTAACCAATTCGTTGAACAGAAAGCATATATATAAGACATATACTTATATATATATATATATAAGTCTATATATATATATTTCCTATATATATAATTATTTTTTATTTAAAGAACTTAACTCTATTTTTGTTGCCTGTGTTAAATTCTTGTTCGATTCAAATTCAATGCAAAAATACTTTATTAATCCCAAAGAGGTGACTTAGACTTATAGAAGATCTGGAACATCTTGCTGCAAGAACTGAAGGATTTTAGCTTCCTCAAAAAGTACAGGTGCTGGTCAAAAATTGTTATTATTATGAAAATGTTTATTTAAATCAGTAATTCCATTCAAAAGGTGAAACTTGTATGTCGTTTCCATTCATTGCACACAAACCTGTAATAATTCACTAGAGATGCCCAGAAATTAAGCCACGACACAGGAGTGAGCAGAAAACCCAGATATTTATTAAGAAGCAGACAAGAAGTGGAGTATGACACCTCCTGGACGTAATACGGGTGTAAATCTCAGCTTCCCGACGTGTAAATCCCACGCCTGGGATTTACACCTACAGTTATTTCTTAAGTCCTTCTAGCTCCCCCCATAGTGTTTCCATCCATCCATCAATTATAGAATAGAATAGAATTCAACTTTATTGTCATTGCACTGTCACATGTACAAAGCAACAAAATGTAGTTTGCATCTATCCAGACGTTGTATACAGGATATAAATATTTATAAACAGGTGTACAAGATATAAACAGAGAGTAATATTGATGTGCTATAAATAAAAGGTTTTGTACAAATATAAATATAAATATGAGAGCTATGTACATATTATACAAATTACACAGGTTATACAGAATATACAGGAATATATATATATGTATTAGTTGTTTTATAATACAGGATAAATAATGGCAAATTAGATCTACAGATTATATAACGATTGTATACAGATCATGTATGTGAGGGGAACAGTCCGGGGACGGGGGGTACAGTCCTTATAGTTTGTGTCAGAAGCAGTTCAGGAGCGTGACAGCTGTGGGGAAGAAGCTGTTCTGGTGCCTGGTGGTTCTGGTCTATAGGCTTCGGTAACGCCTCCCAGAGGGCAGGAGAGAAGAGTGTGTGTGCAGGGTGAGTCAAGTCCTTGGTGATTTTTCCGGTCCTTTTCAGACGCCGCTTCCTGTAGATGTCGTTGATGGCAGGGAGCGGTGCCCCGGCGATGTGCTGGGCAGTTTTCACCACCCTCTGCAGAGCCTTCCGGTCGGAGACAGAGCAGTTCCCGTACCAAACTGTGATGCAGTTGGTGAGGATGCTCTCTATGGTGCAGCGGTAAAAGTTAGTGAGGATCTCTGAGGACAGGTGGTTCTTCCTCAAGGTCCTCATGAAGAAGAGGCGCTGGTGCCCCTTCTTGATGAGTTTGGAGCATTTGGTTGTCCAGGTCAGGTCCTCGGAGATGTGGACTCCCAGGAACTTAAAGCTGTTCACACGCCACCGCTATTCCCTTGATGTGGATGGGTGGGTGCAGGTCAGCGTTCCTCCTGAAGTCCACGATGAGCTCCTTGGTCTTCTCGGTGTTCAGCTGCAGGTAGTTCTTGTCGCACGACTCAGCCAGACGGTCCACCTCCTCCCTGTAGGCGGCCTCATCGTTGTCTCTGATGAGGCCGATCACCGTGATGTCATCTGCAAACTTGATGATGGCGTTAGAGCCATGGACAGGTCTGCAATCGTGGGTGAAGAGAGAGTAGAGGAAGGGACTCATCACACAGCCTTGTGGCACTCCAGTGTTTATGATGATGGTGGATGAGAAGTGGTTGTCCAGCCGGATGTGTTGGGGTCGACTGGTTAGGAAGTCTAGCAACCAGTTGCACATGAATGAACTGATGCCGAGGTCTGTGAGTTTGGCAATGAGTTGTGATGGAATGACAGTGCTGAACTAAAGTCTAAGAACAGCATTCTGGCGTAAGTGTTCTTGTTGTCCAGGAGAGAAAGGACAGAGTGGAGCGCTATGGAGACTGCATCCTCTGTGCTCCTATTCTGCCTGTATGCAAATTGGTGGGGATCCAGTGTGGGGGGGAGACAGGATCTAAGGTGTGCTAGGACCAGCCACTCCAAGCACTTGGTGATGATGGAAATGAGGGCTACCGGACGATAGTCATTGAGTTTGGTCGGGTTGAAATTCTTAGGAATTGGGACGATGGAGGTAGACTTGAAGCAGGTCGGTACCATGGCGCGGGCCAGGGACAGGTTGAAAATGTCCATCAGCACTCCTGCCAGCCACATGCGTCGGGGGGTTGGAGTTGGAAAAGTGATCCTCCACCTTCCTTTTGTAGTAGTGTTTGGCCTTCTTGATTCCCCTCTTCAGCTCAGCCCTGGCTGCGCTGTAGGTCTGTGCATCCCCTGACCTGAAGGCGATGTTACGGGCCTTCAGCAGGAGACGAACATCCAGGGTTTCTGGTTGGGGTAGGGTTAGGGTTAATGGACGCGTTTGTGGATGGTGACAGTCTATGGTGGTGGAGATGTGGTCCAGTACAGATGAGGCGTACTGATCCAAGTCTGTGTGGTGGAAAGTATTCCAATCTGTATTCCTGAACTGGTCTGGAGCACAGCGCCTGAGCCCTCTGGCCACACCTTTACTGTCCTCTCAGTGGGTTTCTCATGTTGGATGAGTGGTGAATACCGAGGTGTGAGGAACAGGGAGAGATGGTCTGATTGTCCCTAGTGGAGTTGCTGGTTCCTCTCCAGCTGTGTTCCGGGCGAGAGGCGGGTCACCTGGACAGGTTGCCAGTCTGTCGCATGGCAACATAGAAATAAACAGGACAAACAACCATGCACACACACACTCACTCACACCCAGGGAGAATTTGTAAAGACCAATGAACCTAACAGTCATATTTTTGGACTGTGGGAGGAAGCCGGAGTACCTGGAGAGAACCCACACACGCACAGGGAGAACTCCGTGCAAAAAGACCCCGGGCCGGGAATTGAACCCAGGACCTTCTTGCTGCAAGGCATCAGTGTGCCATAGTGTTTCTAATTTTGTCATTTCTTTCACCTTAGGTTTAGTTAGTCTTTGTGTCTGACTCTATGTCCAACTTTTTTTAGTGATTCTAGTTAGGTTATTTCTTTGCTTAAGCCTTCTAGATACTCTAGCTATATGTTCTTACCTTTAGATCTTATTATTGTTAGATCAGCCTTATTTCTGCTTACGTTTGTTATAGCTTCCCTCGTCTTTATTTTCTAGTTTACCATCTTTTCTTTAGTGTTTCTTTAGTATTACAAATACTTTCAGTTTTCTTGTGTTTCCTCCCTCACCCTTACCAGTCTACCTTGCAAACCTAAGTGGGTGAGTTGGTTGGTTGGTCAAAAAAGTATAATACTCACAAACTGTCAAATGCAGATTTACTAGAAATATAAAGTCCACAAAGTAGCACCCTGCAATTTTTTATTATAAACCAAATATTTTTAACTCATTTAATAATACCTAATGTGAATAATTTAACTGCTATACAAAGAGAAAAAGTATTTTTTTATGAATAGTTTGCCATTGAGAAACTTAGATTACTGATGACAACAGATAAAACAGGAAAAGAATCATTGTGAATCACATTATATATTTAACTGAAAGCTCATACAGCAAGACAATACAGAACATGACCAAATATTTAGAATACAAACTTGGATAATGTCTGTTGTATAAAAAATAATGTATTTTTACAGCACAGCACGCTTTAAGAGCTATGTAGTATGATTTTGTACTTTTATAATGAAAGCGACAGTACAGTAAATGCCAAATAAATAATTCTTCATTCATGTACTTACTAGAACACAATTTGTTCCATAGGCCTTAATGCTAGTAAGGCTTACTATCATTCTTTGAACGCTTTAGTTGAACCTTCAGTCTTTTCATACCGATCTGGAAACCGTTCATTGACTGGATGGCTGCTTGTGATGACACTGGATTATCATAGCTCACAAAGCCTGAAGAACAAGAATAAGATTTAAGGTCAACCAAAAAAGCACATCAAAAGACTTACTGTCCTAAAAATAATAGTTTTACCAAACAATATTTTGTGAAATAATAGTGATGCTTGGCTTTTCACCAGCCAAGCATCACCTACACTTTTCTTCCTATAAGAATTTTTTTTATTTTAGCCCCTAGTTTCATGATCATCTTTTAAAACACAAAGCTTGAGCAAGAAAATATTAAAGCTTGATTTATCATTTTTGGAATGGTTTTTGGAACAATTCCAGACGGGGGGCCTTATTGCTGGGTGGATTGTAGATACGTGACCCGGATGATGCACAAAATTCAGATGGAGGTCAGGAAGAGGACCTCCGGCTTCAAAACAGAGCAAAATGGATCACGAGTATGTTGGCTGGCACAACAATAGCTACCTCACTGTTGCTAACTTGGTGACTTTCTTGCTATATTTAGTGACAGTTCAGAGAAAAAAAATGTATCAGCCAAAATCAAAATCAGCAGGTAAAGCTTCGTATGGTTCGATAATATGCATTCGGTCAGATAACTGCAATTGGTGCACCCCTATTTAAGATGGAATGCATACACAGATACTCATGGCATATTTTGATTAAATTCATTTCTCTTAAGTGTAATTCCATGAGCTAAAAAATGTATTTATACCAGGTGAGTCTTTCTTACTTGAGAATGTGGACAAATACTGGGTTGATTCTGAGCCTCCAAATAATTTTAACAGAAGTTTATTAAAAATAATGTGTGTTTTAACCACATGAATTATCTCATCAGCAAGTAACTTATCGCCAATTACAGCAAGGAGAAGCTCATTGATATTAATGCAGTAACCATGTATCCTGATGTAAAATCATTTTGCTGGACAGTGGCGGCTCCAGAAATTTCTTTCTGCAGGTGCTAAGAGGGAGCTAAACATTTTCCATGAAGGATCTTTTATTTTCCCGTAATTATCAACACACTCTTTCTTTATCCCCCACACACAGGTCAGATGGACTAAAAACTCTGACATCAGCAGTTACCAATACTGCTGATATACCAATACAGCATATATAAAAATTAATCACAACTTTATCATAAAAATATGTGTTTTTGTTACTATAATGACATAGAAACCATTGCAAAAAATAAAATAAAAAAGCAGCTCCACTGAGGGAGCCCCTTAGTGCCCCGGGGGCCCTTAGCAGCTGCTTAGTTTGCTTTGATGAGGGCCGGCCATGGTCAATAGACAGAGTGAAAAGGTAAAAGTGCTTTTGAGATGATCACCAGTTTGGATTACTGTATTTCAAACGTAACTGCAAAATGACACCACATGCACGGCTTCTTCCAGATGGGCGCTTCCACAGGAGAACATGCAACTTGTTATGCAATCAGGAGTTTACATAGACTCACCAAAACATTTGCTAAGGTTGGTCTGTTTGTCAATGAAAATCTTTGCTGAGATCACATTTCCAAAAGGTAAAAACATCTGCAGCAGGTCCTGGTCTCCAAACTCATGAGGCAGGTGATAAATGAAAAGGTTTGCTCCCTCTGGGCCTACAGAACACAAAGAGCATTTCTCAGAATAAGCAGGAATGCCAATCCACAATACTGTTAAAAATATTGGTGCCCATTTCTTCTGTATTTACTTTTTCTTGCTATTGTAGATAGATGGATTTGAGTTTTCCCCCCACAGTGAAATTGTCATCTCCATCTTCCATCCAGCACCCTTACATGTACATAATCCCCCTAACCCCCATTAAGCCCACCAATCTTACAGACCATCTGTTTCTGTTGTATTCCTGTTAACCCTCCTACTGAGAAGTTGAACATTTTAAAGGAGTTCCTCAGTCTGTTAGTCCTTGACTTTAAAAGAAACAGTCTCCCACTGAGCCTGCTTTCCTGGCTGCTGATGACAGAGTGAAGAAGGTCGCTGGTGTTGTCCATAATATCCAGGAGTTTTTGCAATGCTCTCTCTGCTGTTGTTGACAAAGTCCAGCCTTGATTTGACCACTGAGACAGCCTGCTTGATTTGTTTCTCCACGCTGGAAAGCTTTGCCTTAGATATGCTTCCACCCCAGCACACTACAGTGCATCATCATCACCAACTTGATTTATAAAGTGCTTTAACACGAGCCACAGCTGAAAGTGCTGATCAATAATACATTAATAAGAAAAAAGCATTAAAAAAAAGAACTGGGTGATAAAGCCACCCCAGAAGATTTCCACAGATGTTAAAAGATCTCAGGCTCCTCAGGGAATACATTCCTTCTCAGGCCTTCAATTTGACAAAGCAGACACTCTCAAGAGGTCATCCCATCAGAAATCCTGTTAGACCGTGGTCCCCAGTTCTCCCCAGGAGAAGCAAGTCAGCCAACGTCTTCAACAATTTTAAGATTTTTGTCGGATAATTTTAAGATGTCTGTAATTCAAAAGTGTTTTCACAAACACTGCAACAAGAAACTAGACAAGTTCTAAGTGAATTACCCTTTAGTAACTTCATAGAGATGAACAGCATCACTCCCTACAGAACACTCTGCCGCTCCAACATAGTTGTGATGACTCCCATAACGTCCTACCTCGCTGACGACCTCAACATCTTCTGCATGTTTTAAACCCAGCCATTCACATTTCTAACTCACTTACCAACATACAATTTCTATGCTAAATGACTATCTGCACTCATCACCAACAATTCTACAATGCTATGATTCCTTTTTCAATTCCTAGTTGATAAAACTCACCTTCTTTTTGGCTGCCAGCAGCTGACACATTTTGCTGGGATAGCAGGCTCTGATTGTAGAAGTTGGGTAGGGCAGCAGCTGCATACTGCTGAATACCTGAATAGGCTTGGCTCAGCGCCTCCATTGTATTACCTGAGCCATGAGACAAGCCACCAGAAGAAAGGTTGCCATTTATTGTTGCCATGCCTGTATCAATTACACAAAAAATAGATACAATTTTTCCAAAAGTAAATTTGATTCCTGCCAAGCAATATGTCGGTGTTTCCCAACGCTGGTCCTCAAGGTACACTGTTCTGCATGTTTTAGAGTTTTCCTGGCTTCAGCCCAGCTGATTTTAGTTGAAGGTAGATTAACAGGCAATTGCTGAACTACAATCAACTGAATCAAGAGTATTAAAGCATGTAGATATCTAGAACATGCAGGGCAGTTTGCCTTGGGGAACAGGATTGGGAAACACTGCAATAAGTAACAATGTCAGGAGACTCAGTGTTGATAGTACAATGCCTATGGAAAGTATTCACCCCTCTACTGAAAGATCCAGGTGACGTACACAGAAAAAGTTGGACACAACAATGTGCTGTGTCTTTGACTTAGTGGCTAAGTCAAAGTCTAAACCACTAATAGAGAACTTCTATTGGGAAAACGGCTGCTCACCTTCAATCCTCATAAAACTTAAAAGTAAAATTGCAGTGTCCAGACGTACAGTGCCTTGCAAAAGTATGCGGCCCCCTTAAACTTTTCAACCTTTTGTCGCTCTTCAGGCTTCAAACATTAAGATCTCAAATTTTTATTATTTTGTGAAGAATCAACAAGTGGGACAAAATCGTGAGGTGGTATGAAATTTATTGGATATTTCAAACTTTTTTAACAAGTAAAAATCTTCAAAGTGGAGTGTGCAATACTTGGTTAATACTTTGTAGCGCCACCTTTTGCTGCGATTTCAGCTGCAAGACGCTTGGGGTTTGTCTCTATCAGTTTAGCACATAGAGAGTCTGAAATTCTTTCACATTCTTCCATGCAAAACAGGTGGAGTTCAGTGATTCAACTTGTATAACATTCAGTTCAGTCATGGTTCCAGTAATTCCTTTGGTCAGCATTCTCTGATGTTTATTACAACACTCACTTGTGGGACCTGGAAATTCAGTCACAACACGGGGGAGAAAAAATTAACTCAATAATTTACTTTAAAAAGCTCATTGGAACTGGATCATGAACTGCAGCACAGTGAGGGGAGAGTAAAGATTGGGGATCTAAGTAACAGTCCAAATGAAATGTTTAGTACGTGGTGAATATTCCAACCTGTTCTGTCGATAAGCTGAACTGCACTGATAAAGGCAAATGATTGAGAATCAAGGAAGGAAAAGAGCTGATGGGCCATGAAGTTCTGACTGGGTACCCCACATTGCACAGTACAAGCACAAATTCAACCCCTGTATGATGGGCAAGCAATGGAGAAAGTGAAGTATTCATCCCTAGGAGTAGGCGGAATAGGGAAACCCATCAGCCAGGCATAGGTCCAAGTACAAGTCGCAGACAACCAGCGACAATCCATCAAGGGCAAGGCAAAGAGGCAAATCCAGGTACCAAGGTCAAGGTGATGAGGGTCAGATGGAGGCACCAGAAAACTACCTCTGCAATATATTTGATAATATGCTGAAGTGAGTGTGACTGAGTGAGGCTTAAAAAGGGGAACAATCAGGGGAAGCAGCAGCGTTGCAAAGTATAAATGGCATTGAGAAACATCCAGTAGTTCATCTCAAAAACATACAAAGGATAGAAGGCCAGTGACATGCAGTGATGTGCAAAGCTGGAGAGCCACTGACTTGATAATAATCAGATATACAAATTAGACCATTTGCATGTTATTGTTTACATAAGGAAATTTCGCACATGTGAACAACGCTGGAGGCCAAAAAGACAATTCCTTTATAATTCATCCATAGCGGCGATAGAATCATTCCGTCAACTCAATGAAACTTGGATATGTAGGTATTATTAATTTCGTGCCGTGCTCTGCAGAAAAGGGAAAATGCGTTGAAGTACAACTCAAACCACGTCTTTCTTGCTCTGTGCATTGACCAGGCTGCACATAGATTCATTGCCATAGAAAAACACTGAAATATTTCCCACACAAAGAGCAGAACATTCAGTCGGTTGCAGCACTATGGTTTTAGACTCAATGTTTAATTTGCAATTATTATGTGCTTGCTGTGGTAAGAGGAGAAAACTATAAATATATGGCTGCACTTGACTTTACTGCATGGCTAGCTCGCTGTTACTGTCTCTTACTCTGCAGTTGTGGAGCCACAATATTTGGGATCATGAGCGCCCCCTGCCATGAGGCAAGAGAACTGCCTGCCTCACCTCAAATCTGTTCTCTGCCATTTCTGATCGTTCCTCAGCACACAAATCACCTTACACACAGTTGACAAAAAACAGTGTCCATTATATACATAAGTAAAATTATGAAAAATCAGTTCATATATTAAATGGTTTTAGCCATTTTATTGAATGCGTACGACAGGAGGAACGTGCTCTCATAGAATGGCAGCCAGTGCAGTTAGTGAGAGGTTGCGCAATGCCAGATGAGGCTCAACTTGCTGCTGACTCACCAGCTTCATTTCTGACCATTTGAATGGGGAAATGCAGAAATTCAGCGATTTTGAAGAAAACTAATAAAACTGAAAAATAAATACTTTATAGTACAAACCACATGGTGAAAATAGCAATAGAAATGATTTTGTCATTATATTTTTCCATCATGACAGGTGAGACTCTGCCTCACTTGCCTCCAATGACCGACCGCATGTCACTGTTACGGTCTGTTTCTTATGCTATTTTCCCAAATGCAGCTCCTCAATTAAACATCTGTTTCCAATTCCTATTAGGTAATCATTCCTCAAATACACAAAATTTTACTTCTACTTCTTAATCCCTCAGGTCTCCAGATAACAGATCACTCGATCCCAGGACCAGAACTCAATAAGTAAGAATTTAGTTTCTATAATCTGAGATGAGATGTGCAGAAACTCTTAGTTTGTTTTAGATGTAACTGAAAATTGTTTTGCGTACAACTACTTTTGATCACAGAATCAGAGCAGTTTACCCCCTTGAAGTCTGAGATTGAGAATTAAGTTTTAATGGGATTCAATTTATTAATTTGAATTTGCCTTTAACCCTTGGGGACTCTCGTCTTTCCAAAATGGGACATTCTGCTATACCTCTTTTTATGATTTTCAGTATCTCAGTCAAATTAAAGATTCATTCGATTAAACTTGGTTGGCCAGGGCTTTTTTCTTTTTAATTTTCTTTTTATTTATTTATTTTTTGTCCTTGATTATGAGGTATGTAGAACAAAAGTTATGCACTTTCTGTACACTTTAGACCTTCTGCTCCTTTTTGATCCGATCAACACCAATTATAACCACATATTTTTGATGGGCAGTTATCCTAGCATTTTAAAATAACTTTCCAATGGAAACCAAACAAATCTAAGTTTCTGCCTTCAAAATACAAGAAAAACTTGCCTTGACTTCCTCCTCATAGTAACATATTTATTATTAAATTCTAAGTTCTAAAATTTTTATTATTTTGTGAATAATAAATGGGAAAATGGTTCTATTACCTTCCAAAAAAAATGGCAATAAAAATACTGAACATCACAAAAAATACTTCTGTGTTGGCAACAATGTAAAGGAGTGGTGTGAATGTGTGTGTGTGTAATTTGGAGAATTAAAACTAAGTAGGCTTTTATTGCACTTTTATTAGATGTTCTAGGTCACAAAAGTAAAGGGTGTCAGTTTTTGTCTATTAATTGTCATTACTCCTAAAATAATGCATAAACGTCAGCATTGTTATTAACTTTTGGCCCGGTCAAGGCTGAAATATCTACATTAAAATACTGCATTTTGCTGTTTATTTTTGAAAAATATAGCATATTTTGGGGGTGGGGGAGGTTTCTTGAAAAACTGAGGACTTATTTGATTAAAAAGGTATAAAATATTTTTAAAATATGGAAAATTTTGTCCCTGAATAGGTCTGAAGCTGTTGAAAAGATTAAATGCAGTGAAAATGGAAAAAAAAAAAAGTAGATTTTTTTTATTACATCTTTTTATTAAAGATGAATCATTTTTTGGTCACAAAAGATAGTGTCAGATTTTGCATTAAAATTGCCATTACTCCAAAAATTATAATACATCGTTAAAGCTGCAAGCAACCTCATAGGGCCGTGGCAGCTCAGCACCACTGGCCTCATGGCGATTGTGGGAGATTCTTTAGTGATGTCATTAATATACCACAACAATGTTTTATTGTTGTGGTATACATAAGAAGATTCAGATCAGATGATGTATCACAGAGATAACAACTGTTAGCATTACCTAGGGGGCGCAAGGGAGTCAAATTCCAATATAATACTTCTGACCTCTTTAGAAGTTAAGAAAGGTCATAGGTACATGGGATTCTTCACAAAATAATTAAAAATGTAGATCTTTATGTTTGAAGTCTGAAAAGCAGCAAAAGATTGAAAAGTTCAAGGGGGTCGAATATTTTTGCAAGGCACTGTATATATCCAGTTTGGTGCAAATCATATCATGCATGTGTGATTTAGAGCCAGCTGTGTGCAAATGACAGGGGAATGAAATTTGTCTTTCTGCCATGGCCACATGGTTCAGCCACCAAGGAGTGTTGAGAGGATAAATGTTGATTATCTTATGTCCCTTGGCACAGGTTTACCCCTATATGAATCGAAGAGAAAAGTAAGTAAGTAAGAAAAGTAAGACATCCAGCAGTAAATCTTTAGTATCTTCCCCTGTTCCAACAGGAAGGAACAGGTGACTTCCTATTGGAGAGGTAAGGGCTAAGGTGATGTCACTAGTTAACTATGTGAATGGGATGAGGGCCAGTCTGTAATGAGACACAGGAAGTCTGATGCAGCTGTAACCTTCTATGTGGATGTTATTGCATGTTAATGTTTCATGGTGAATGGTCAGCTTTTGAGGGTTGACCACACATAAAAAAGATTTTGATAACTTTTAATCTTCAATGCCTCCAGAATCTGCACAGTGATTTTGAAGTCTGTGTGTCAACAACTGGGAGGAATTCAATCAGATGCAATGTCTATAAAAACTGACACAATGGTGGCTTTGATCCAAGTTGACTAATTCCTGATGGATATGCACAAAAAAGTCTGCTGGTGACTGACTGACTGACTGACTCACTGACTGACTGACTGACTGACTGACTGACTGACTGACTGACTGACTGACTGACTGACTGACTGACTGACTGACTGACTGACTGACTGACTGACTGACTGACTGACTGACTGACTGACTGACTGACTGACTGACTGACTGACTGATGGATGGATGGATGGATACAAATGTGCCAAGTTTCATTATTCTGGGACAAGGCATGACTTGGGGCTGATCATTAAAATATTTTAGTGGGTGCTGCAGATCCTTATCCTTATCTAAAACTCAGCTTGAATCTGTGGAATTTAGAGGCAATGGTGTCACATGTGACTTCACCACAAATCCATCACTAAAATAGGTGAGTCTTGGAAACCAAGTCACACCAACATGTCTTCTGTCACTGAATACAGTTTAATGTTGATTAGGTCAAATCAACATGGGGTCAGATAGCGGCCGTTCACAGTGAAACATTTCTTTTGCAATTTATGCATTGACCTTAAAATATGTAATTTTTATGCAGGCTTGATGAGTTCACCAATGCTGGTGAGTTTTCAGATGTGCTTAGGGATCCAAAACAGCAATTCATTTGACAGGAGAAACAATATATTAAACATTATGATAACAACCCTCCTTTACAGGGCTTCACTGCTTGGACCTAAAAATCAATGTTGTTATTAATTTTTAATTTGGACAAGTCTAAAACACCCACATCTTACAATATTTCACTTTACAGATTATTTTTGAAAATATTGTAAATTTTGTGTTTTTCTCCTTTGAAAAAGATCAGGCTTTTCAGGACAAAACAGGCATAAACACAGAAAAAACAATATAAAACACTATATCTCTGGATAGGTTTGAAGCTGTTCAAAAGATGTAATACATTTTTTAAAAAGTAGTTTCTTTAAATCTAGTTTGAAAAGAAATACCATTTTGGGTCACAGGGGATAAAAGTGTCAGTTTTGCTTTTAAGTCTCACTACTGCAAAAACAATAATAACAACAATAATAACAGTGATTTTCTTTGATTGTTATTTTCAGATCAAAAGATGCATCACACCATATCAAATGCCTTGTCCACTAAGTCAGCTATAGTTAATGCTCGCAGCAGCGCAGAAATCTGAAAAACTTGTTTCATAAAGCTTGAGGAAGCAAAAAAGTTTCTGTGGTGGTTATGAAAAATTCAACAGAAAATAATGGAAGACCTGCTAAAGCCTTATTAGCAGCATTAAATTAAATCTCATGTTTGTTGCGCATCTCTGCATTGCACAGAGATCCTCTGCAGCGGATTTAGTTCTTCATGCAGGGCCGGTACGGCATCATGCTAAATTATGGTCCTCTTTTGCTGTTAAAAACATCAGCACCACTAACAATGTTTCAACATGGATTTAGTCAAATCTGGGAGAAAAGGCTAGTTTAATTGGCCAACCTAAAAAGCAATCAGTAGTAATTGTAGCTTATGTATTTGTGCACAAACAGAACTCAAACTCAAAGTTTAAACTCAGAACATCAGAGTTCAGTAACGAAACAATTTTACCAAAACTATAACATGCTGCTTTGAAGTCCTGCATCCCTTCCACCCTCCTCTTCCTGACAGGATCTGTGAAATTCTTCTTAATGTAGATTTTGGATCCCTTAGGCGCCTTGGTGGGCTCCAGAATAGTTGGTCTGTCCTTGTACCTCAGGAATTTGACGACAATTGGCCTGGATCTGTCTCCTCTGGGTTTCCCAGTGCGGTGAGTTCTCGCTATCTCAATCTCATGTCGTAACTTTAACTTTTCAGACAGAACTGTCTTTGCTTTCTCCCGTTTCAACCCAAGTCTCATTTGGCAATGTGAGGGATTAACCCCTCCCTAAAAGGTGATGTGTTTGTGCTGCGATATTCCAATTTATTTATTAAGTGTATTTTGTTTGGAGGAAGCAACTTGCTTTGTTTGGTGTTTTAATCATTTTTCTTCTCTTTGAGGTCACCTGGTCAGGTGTTGCCATGAGCAGTGCTGACCAGGACCTGGTGTTTCAATCAACCTCAGAATCTGTTGTTTGAGAGAGAGGGGAGATGTTTTTGGATTTAATTTGGGGCCCAGATTGTTTTTGTTTTAGTTTGAAGGTTGTTAGTTGAAATGTAAATTTCTTTCTAGGAATATAGTGAAGTACAAATGTTGTTTTCACTTGTAAATGTTGACTCCACCCCTTAATTAGTCAAGGAAGAGCCAATGCTTTAAAAGGCAGGTGTGTTAGATCAGAGGAGACTCTCCCTCTTGTGTGTGAACATGTCATGCTGTAACTGGGTGGAAATGTTTTTGAACAAAGAGATAAAATGAATAAGAGCTCTATAACTTCTGGACTTTGTTTGATTTTTTTTTTTGATTGCAACCCTACAGGCAACTCAGTAATTCCATCGATGACCAGATTGTTTCTCTTTGATTGTCCCTCCAGGTGCTCCATCTTGTCTGTGATTACCAACAGGCTTATCACAAACTTTGAATACCTAATTTGTTGTGCTTAATGCTTTCTGCTTTGATGTCATCCACATCTTTCTGCATAAATTGCAGTCTGGTTTTAATGTCCTGCACTTCTCGTGTCAGCCTGTATGGTTTGGTATTTGTAGAATCCATAATGATTTTAACAAAGCCTTTGAAATTGTCATTTCCTTCTGTTTGCTCAGTAACTCTTTAACTTGCTTGAGCAACACAAACTTCTCATCTGGTCTCATCTCGGTCTCGGGATCCTTCAGGAGGCATGTTTTCACTCAGTTTTTTACCAACAGTTTTCCTCAAAGTGATAATAAAAGTAGAGTACTTCTCTCCAATTGCTTACATGGAAAATAATATTTTTACATTTCCTTGTCAACTCAACATCTTTTAATACATAAACACAGGGAACTGCCAGTGGACCACCTCTGAGCCACAAACACCAGGCTTAACAAGATTTCTGGGGGAACCCCTGCAAATATTTTAACTGTATAATTGTCAGGGCAGTTATTTTGACTATTTTGCAATTGACTTGTTTTTTGTTTGTTTTTGTTTTTTATCACATCGAATCAAAAATTATCTGATTCCAATTTGATTCCATCCTTCATTTGGATAACTGTGGGATAACATGACCATTTTTTAAGCACAGTTGAAACTATGAACATTAAAATACCATAAAATGATTCCACATGCAGACTTTATTGTCTGAGAATATTTTGGTCATTTTGTGATGTAAAATTAGTTGTCTTAGTTGCCCAAAGGTTGAAAAGATCAAATCCCAAAACTCCAAATATGAATACCAAATACAATAGAATATATCACAGTTAATTAGTCTTTATTTCAGAATGGACTGAAGTGAGTTCTGTAGTCAAGAATGAGTAACAAAGTTGCAATGAAGTATACAAATGCAGTGTATGACTGACTTTTTTATTTTTTTTACCTGAGCCGGTTAGTGCACTTAATGAACTACTAGATGTCGTCATGATGTTGGAAGTTGAAGTTGTGCCTTGTGTAGCTTTTGCTGCAGTAGTTAAAGCTGCCAGATTCTGCATGGAATTCAGACCTGACAGACACACGCACAGTCAATTTCTAAACCCCACTAACTCCTTCTTCTTGCTACTATGTAAAAGGTTTAATACCTATGTAGATATGCTTTGCCTATGTTTGACTGATAGGCAAAATTGAACAAGGTCCTTACCAGTTGTGTGTGCATGTGTACTTGTTTAGCTATCCTACTTAGGATGGCTTCTGGCATATTAATTTATAACCAATGGGCCTTATGAGAACCAAAGTCCAATCCTAATATGGTGGCCTGTAGCCCTAAACCTAACCTGTAGTTCAGCACTACAGGTTAGGTTTAGAGGAAAGATGTGAATTAGATTTTTAGAAGGTTATAAATAACTGGTATTAGTTAGGGTTAGGCAAAAATATCTGGGTTAGGTATGAATGCAGTTTATGAAATAAATGGATGTCAATACAAAATCGTGCGTGTGTGTGTGTGTGTGTGTGTGTGAGCGTGACAACACGTGTGTACCTGAAACTTGGTGTAAATTGCTGAGTGCATTTCCTGTGAAGGTAGACTGCTGCAACAACTGTAAGTAGAGCTAGAGCCAACAACAAAATTTAAATTAGCTTTAAAAATTATAATTAATCTTAGCTAATGGTTCCATTTTGAATAAAACAAAAAGAATAACTAATAGAGCCAAACTCACTGCAAGGAACTGTGGTCCAAGATTGTGGAAACTGGATAAATTTCCCCACATGGAAGTTGTACTGAGTTGCTGCATCTGCTGCAGCTGTTGAGCAAGGCGTTTCTGCTCTTTGTCCTTCTGAGTATCTGCAAATTTCACTACAATGGGTGATGAACAGCCCTAAACATAAAAAATAAAGGAAGTTAATTAATACTTTAAATGTATTATGTATTCATATATGATTTTTTAGTTGATATAAAGCAGTGGTCCCCAACCAGGATCTTTTGTATTGAGAGAACCCTTTAACTGGATTCTTTCGGTTACATCTTGTGCGCCAACATTGAGCCACAAGCAGCAAAATGAGTAAGAAACTGATCAGATGTCTTTGGAAAGTTTCTTTGTGAAGGGCAAAAGGCCCAGAGAAGAGACAAGAGAATGGATTTATGCCGGATCGGTAGGTGATTCCCAGATTCCAAGCCCGCTCTCCATGATATGGTGACCGGCTTATAAAAGAGACAAACGAAACCTTCAAACTGCTTCACCGCGTAGAGACCAAGCACACTTGCTGTGCTTGAGATGGTTTCCCATCTCATTGCAGAGAAACCAACTCAGGGTTCCCATTAGTCTTTATGGTGAGTTAAAATTTTCACAAAAGTAAAATGTTTGTTTTTGTGGCGCATCTGCATTTTATTTGGAAGGGATATGTAAACTTTACCATAGCGACAGAGTCAGAGAGCATTAGGGCAGCAGTCGAGACGAGATGAGAGGAGTAGAGCTTGTGAGTTTTATCATGGTTGACACGGCACGATTTAAGGGTTGCCGGATAAAAGTCCCAACAGGTTCGTTCGGTTCGTGTGTCTAGCCACAAAGCAGGAGCAACACACGAACCGATTCCAGTCACAAACATTACGATTCCTGAAGAAAATCCAGTAAAACCCCCAACATACTATACAGCAATTTAGAAAAATCAAACTTGGATGATGATGTAGAAGCAGTAGTGGTTTTTTGTGGATTCATTTTAAGCGATAAAAGACGGCGGGAGCAGCCGAGCTATTTGCTGCACTATGATTTGGAGGTGAGCTATGATTTTTTGTCAACATTTTCAACTGAAAAAACACATATATAAAAATGACCTTTACATATAGTAATGAACATTTCCACATATTATCTCTGATGTCCATCAAACTCTCAGTTGCACCAGGTCAACTGTTTGATTGGTTTCTGATTGGTTTCTGATTGGTTTTCTGATTGGTTATCTGTTACATTCAACAGGCTGCGATAATTGGGCCAAGACAATGTCGAATATGACCCTCTTGACCCCCTCAGGCCACAGCAAAATTGCCAAGTCTTGACCCGTCCGTGGTAATAAAAAGGTTGGGGACCACTGACATAAAGTACTAATTTAAATTTTAATAAAAAAAATTCTGTAGTTTTAGCCTTAAAAGAACATCAAAGATCATAATTTGTCCTAATTGTACATTACCTCCAGAGTCTGTGACTGGTGCATTGACTTGATAGCAGACTGGGCCATTTGTCGACCTGTAAATGTTACAAATGCACATCCTGAAAGACAAAAATGAAATCTGTTAATATCCTAATGATGTTTTAGGCAGGTTATAAAATATATTACAGCACTATTGATTTACATTTGTTTAGGTAAAAATTTATGGCAGTTTGTTTCTCAAAGCTTTAATCCTTCATGAAAGATGTCAGTTTGTTGATCCATATGCAAAATCACACACGAAAGAAAAGAAGTTAAAATATTTATTTACGATATGCACAAGAAAATGACTAACGATAATGTTGTCTCTCTGGGTCAGGTCCAGTATTTATCTGGAGGATGAGTGGCAGAAAAATAGTTTGTCATGATTTGAGTTTTTCTCTGTGTTTATTTGGAGTTTTCTGTGTCTCTGAGTCTCTGTGTTGTCCTGTCTCCCCTTGATTACTCCCAGGTGTGTCTCCTTTCTGCGGTTACCCTCTGTATTCAATCCCAACTTTGTCCTTTGTTCCTCGTTGGGTTCTTGTCTATTCTGTTCATCGGCCTACCCTGTTGCTTCCAGTGCTGAACCATTGCTTTCCGCTTTGCTGTCTTGCCAGGATTTTGGATTGTCTGGATTATTCTCTTCGTTAAATCATCTACTTTTCATCTCAATCTGGGTCTGCTGCATCTGTCTCACCACCTCTACACCCACAATTCATGACAATTAGTAGCTGGACCAATTTGAGTATGAATGGTGATAGCTGCTTGCATAAAAAAATGGCTTTTGTTTCCTTGGAAGATTCGCAGGAAGAGAAAACAGGATCCAAACTATGGGGATTTGCTTTGTAAATCTAAGGTCCAGGGAAATCGAACATGGAACTGCCATGACTGGGCATGGAGATGAGGCTTTGGAACTGCAATGTGGATCTAGAAAATGTGGATGGCAGTCAAAGACCTGGAAAAAGGCATTTGAGATTCTGGATCCCAAGAGATTCACCAAAACAATCACAGAAAATCACTAGAAGATTCACAAGAGAGTTCAAGCTCTCTAGAGACTAGAAGAGAATGGTTGTTTTGCAGCTTCTCACATCAATAGTTGCTACTAAGTGAATGAGCTGCAGATGTGCAATCAGGGCTGCTCAGAGCAGATTTCCAATCAGGGAAGAGACTCAGACTCACACAAACAAATCCTGAAATTACTGAGGTGCTGGGAGACAATCATTTTGAGATGCCGTCAGGAGTTCTTGCGCTCCTGGGTTTGTGCGCTGCCTGATGTTTCTGCCTCCCCTACCCGGCCGCCTGCCAAGATGAATGCTGTTGTAGCTCCTACTGGATCTGGCTGACCGGGGTATGGATGACCGTGATCGGGAATCCCCATGGTGCCATGTCTGATGTCACCTCCTCTGTGGTGCGGTACATGTGGGTCTCCTCTCTGTAGAACACAAGTAGCCTTGGTGGGTAGGAGTTTTGGAACTTGATTTTTTTTCTCCTTCAGTCTCTTCTTAACTTGATTGTACTCTGCACATTTCTTGAGAATAGCTCGTGGATGATTGTGATTGACATAGAAGCACTTGTACTGTAATTGCTTTTTCTGCCAGGCTCTGCAAATAACTTCCTCCTTAATTTTGTAACTGGCAAACTTTACAATGATTGAGTGAGGTTTTGATTGCGTATTGATGGCAATGGGGGCCAGCGCTCTGTGGACTCTTCTAATTTTGAGTTCAGCATCTTGCTGGAGATCCAAAAAGTCCCAAAGCAATTTCTTTACGAAGCCCTCGATGTTGTTACCTTCAGCCTTATAGGGAATACCATAAATCATTATGTTATCTCGCCATGCGTGGTGCTCATGATCAATGAGCTCAGCCTCCATGTTGTCCTGGTGCTGAAGAAGTCATTTAAATAGGGATGATGTCACCTGCATGGCTGTTTCTATTTTTTATTCAACCTTCTGCTTCATCCAACCCAGGGGAGCTCAAACTTTTTGAGACCAAGATCTACTTTTTCTCTCACCAGCTGGCTGAGATCAACCTCATGACACAAAGACATAGAAATTGCAAATGAAACCCTATTGACTCATTTCCTATATGAATATACATCAGTTATATCAGAAATGATAAAGTGATAGAAAACCTAATGCAGTTTCTTCCTCAGTGAGATCCTGACACTGGGATCAGGTTACTGGGAGCAGGTTACTGGGAGCAGGTTACTGGCAGCAGGTTACTGGGAGCAGGTTACTGGGAGCAGGTTACTGGGAGCAGGTTACTGGGAGCAGGTTACTAGCAGCAGGTTACTAGCAGCAGGTTACTGGGAGCAGGTTACTGGGAGCAGGTTACTGGGATCAGGTTCCTGGGATCAGGTTACTGAGAGCAGGTTACTGGGATCAGGTTACTGGCAGCAGGTTACTGGATCAGGTTACTGGCAGCAGGTTACTGGGATCAGGTTACTGGGATCAGGTTACTGGGATCAGGTTACTGGGATCAGGTTACTGGCAGCAGGTTACTGGGATCAGGTTACTGGGAGCAGGTTACTGGCAGCAGGTTACTGGGATCAGGTTACTGGGAGCAGGTTACTGGGAGCAGGTTACTGGGATCAGGTTACTGGGATCAGGTTACTGGGATCAGGTTACTGGGAGCAGGTTACTGGGATCAGGTTACTGGCAGCAGGTTACTGGGATCAGGTTACTGGGATCAGGTTACTGGGAGCAGGTTACTGGCAGCAGGTTACTAGCAGCAGGTTACTGGGATCAGGTTACTGGGATCAGGTTACTGGCAGCAGGTTACTGGGAGCAGGTTACTGGGATCAGGTTACTGGGATCAGGTTACTGGGATCAGGTTACTGGCAGCAGGTTACTGGCAGCAGGTTACTGGGATCAGGTTACTGGGATCAGGTTACTGGGATCAGGTTACTGGGATCAGGTTACTGGCAGCAGGTTACTGGGAGCAGGTTACTGGGAGCAGGTTACTGGGATCAGGTTACTGGGATCAGGTTACTGGGAACAGGTTACTGGGATCAGGTTACTGGGATCAGGTTACTGGCAGCAGGTTACTGGCAGCAGGTTACTGGGAGCAGGTTACTGGCAGCAGGTTACTGGCAGCAGGTTACTGGGAGCAGGTTACTGGGAGCAGGTTACTGGGAGCAGGTTACTGGGATCAGGTTACTGGGAACAGGTTACTGGGAGCAGGTTACTGGCAGCAGGTTACTGGCAGCAGGTTACTGGCAGCAGGTTACTGGCAGCAGGTTACTGGGAGCAGGTTACTGGGAGCAGGTTACTGGCAGCAGGTTACTGGCAGCAGGTTACTGGGAGCAGGTTACTGGGAGCAGGTTACTGGGAGCAGGTTACTGGCAGCAGGTTACTGGCAGCAGGTTACTGGCAGCAGGTTACTGGCAGCAGGTTACTGGGAGCAGGTTACTGGGAGCAGGTTACTGGGAGCAGGTTACTGGGAACAGGTTACTGGGAACAGGTTACTGGCAGCAGGTTACTAGCAGCAGGTTACTGGCAGCAGGTTACTGGGAGCAGGTTACTGGGAGCAGGTTACTGGCAGCAGGTTACTGGGAGCAGGTTACTGGCAGCAGGTTACTGGCAGCAGGTTACTGGGAGCAGGTTACTGGGAGCAGGTTACTGGGAGCAGGTTACTGGGAACAGGTTACTGGCAGCAGGTTACTGGCAGCAGGTTACTGGCAGCAGGTTACTGGGAGCAGGTTACTGGGAGCAGGTTACTGGGATCAGGTTACTGGCAGCAGGTTACTGGGAGCAGGTTACTGGGAGCAGGTTACTGGAACAGGTTACTGGGAACAGGTTACTGGCAGCAGGTTACTGGCAGCAGGTTACTGGAATCAGGTTACTGGGATCAGGTTACTGGCAGCAGGTTACTGGCAGCAGGTTACTGGGATCAGGTTACTGGGATCAGGTTACTGGGAGCAGGTTACTGGGAGCAGGTTACTGGGATCAGGTTACTGGGATCAGGTTACTGGCAGCAGGTTACTGGCAGCAGGTTACTGGGATCAGGTTACTGGGAGCAGGTTACTGGGAGCAGGTTACTGGGAGCAGGTTACTGGGATCAGGTTACTGGGAGCAGGTTACTGGGAGCAGGTTACTGGGAACAGGTTACTGGGAACAGGTTACTGGTTTCTCAGTCAGAAGCTGGTTGCAAACCTGAGGCCAGCAGCTGTCAGTCAGTTATTGTAGATCTGAAATTTGATTTGATGACGTCAATATGAGAAACTACAGACTGATAGGAGGAACCAAAGAGCTTTGCAGAGGTAAAGGCAAATCTTCTGAATTTGAAATATAATTAATTTAATTTCACATAATTATCGTGGTAGAAGCCATTTGTTTGTTAAAACTTAATCAAATATATTTGTCCTATTTGATGTTTGTTATGACACGTTTACTGTAAATGAATGAGGTAATTAGTCCAAGTTTGTCGTTTATCGATTGGTCAGAAATTAAAGCAGCTGTGATGAACCACAGCAAAGGTCAACCAAGGTGAAACAACCTGAACAGGTGATCAACTCAAAACCACTCACACCTTTTTACTCTCTCTTTATCGTTAAGCACACCTGTTGCCCTGGCAACCACAAGCTGAGCAGAGATTACATTAAAAACAGTAACATTATTACAAAATGTAAAGGAATGACTTAATGTATATATATATATATATATATATATATATATATATATATATATATATATATATATATATATATATATATATATATATATATAACTGTCCCTTTAAATAGCAAGACAATAAGTATTTCTTACCACGGCTGAGTCCATTAGGGCCTCGGAGTATCCGACATTCTTCTATCTGGCCATATGGAGAGAACATCAGTCGGATGTCGTTTTCATTGCACTTCTTGGAGATCATTCCAATAAAAAGTTTTCTGTCCTCTACTGCTGAATATAAGCATAACAGATTATCTAAAGAGTGATACACTGAATGTAGTATAAAAATTCAAGAAAAGAAATTGTACTAATGTAAGAAAACACAAATTAGTAGATTAAGCAACCTTTTCAAAGACTTAGGTAAATATAAATTAGAGGTGACCATAAGGCATGCATAAACATAAGAAAGTAAAGAAGTAAGGTTTTTTTTTTTACTTATTCTTCATTGCAGCACTAAAGCCCTTTTTTCACTGGCTCTAATGGACCAGCCTGTATCGCGAGCGATCCACTTGCATTTTTTCGAGGCCCATCCCTGCTTTTTTGGACCCTGCACTGGCATGGGCGATGCAAGCTTAGTTCCTGTTCATTGATTGGCAATTGGCGAGGTCAGATGTCGCAGCAAAGAGAGAAGAACAACAAAGGCCACAAAATTTCAAACTTGCTGAAATACAGAAGTGATGGAACGAGTTTGAAACACAGTGATGGCAAAGTTACTTTGAAAAGTAACTTTAATTGGATTAAAGTTACTTTTTAATCCAATTAACCAATTAAGTAACTTAGATTACTGACTACTTGATTTGAGTGTCTGAGTTCTTTGCCTCATTGTTGACCTGTGCTGCCTGGACTTCTGCACAGGCTTGCCTCTCCCCAGCTACCTGGGCCAGCTCCTCTGGGTTGATCCCAAGGGGCTCCCAAGCCCACCGAGAAATTTGCACAATGCCTGTAGTACGGCCGCTTTTCTCCTCCAGGAGCTGCTGGTTCAGAGCGAATGGAGGTGTATAAATACACTGCAGGTGTATTTATACACCTACAGTGGGTGGCTGTAGGTGTATAAATAGGTGTATAAATGTATAAATAGATAGTGAATGTAAGTGTAGTTTTACAGACGAACCGGAAAATTTATTTCATATCATCCCGATCTCAACAAATGGGTGGTGGCACGAAGCTGGTAGATGTGTTTCTGTGTGTGACAAACGAAGGTGTTAAATCCCATCGCTAAAGATAATGCCCTGGGCAACTGTCTGCAACATTAAACATAGCAATTGACACAATGCCCTGATGGTAAACGACGCTCAACACTGACCAAAGAGCAACAAGCAAGAAGTAACCAAGCACAAGGCGCTCACCCTCACTCCCACTTTTTTTTGAAAGGTTTTATTGGCTCAAAGGTCTTTGTTTAATAGCTGTTTGATAAGAAAGTGGGTAATGAGAGAAAAATATGTTTTCTCCATATTTGTTAAAGCTGTCACCATGTTGTGTGACAGTTTATGAGACAGATAATATGTGAAAACAATCAAACTCCTCCACCAGCTCCCTGAACTGCAGTTACTGGCTAAAGTAATGCAACGTTCCAACCAACACAACCTTAGCGCTATCAATTATCCTCATTCATTCAGTGCTAAATCTGCTAATGGTGGAAAAACAACTTATCATTACAGGAAAAATGTTTATCTGCTGTCATTGGTAGTTATGCTAACTAGACTGAGGATTCACAACAGGCTGCGCTAGCTATAGCATAGCACAGAGTGAGGGAAGGGAGGATGAGCAGCCACATGAGATTGTGATTGACAGCACTAAAACTCTGCACCCACTCACTGGTTGTTTCTAGATAGTACTGGGAGAAGGCAGAGGAAATAGATTTTTCACATATTATCTCTTATGACGCACTGTCACAACATAATGACAGTTTTAACAAATATGTAAAAAAAAAAACATCTTTTTTTTAATAAAAGTTACATACTACAGCTTTAATTTCACTTAGGAGAAATCAGGTCAGGAGGGACGTGGGTTAGAGCTGCTGCTGTCTGACTCATTGTTGTTAAATGTGGTAAAAGGTATAGGTACAAGTTCAATATATGAATATGTTGGTAATTTCTTTCCTTAATTCATGAAATGTTAGTGAAACAGAGGCAAGTAGTAGTCTGTAGTTAAGCTAAATATGCTGAATGGTAATCTCAGTCTACTCACCTCTTCTTGCAGAAATCTGGGTTTCAAATTGACACTTTTACCTTTTTCTCTCTGCCTCTATTTTTTGAAAACCTGATTTTATTATTTTTCTTAGCAGCATAGTAACTGTCACAGTCAAGAGCTCCAAACAGGAATGGACCATTTTATGCAGATCCAGGGGATAATTAGTACAAATGTGAATGTCTGCTTTTTGCTCTGGGAGAGGTAACATTTCATTTTTACTACTAAAAACTATTTTAGAAAATACAGTATAATTAATTTTGTAATTGACAGGGCCCCATTTTTTAAATTTCTATGAAAAAAGAAAGAAAAATTGTGAAGAGCCCCATGTCGGACAGGGGCCCTTGGACTTGTCATAACTCTGCCCGGGCCCCTGTACAGCAACACCTCTGCACAATAATTCAGCGCAGTGAGTGACATTCCACCGAGGCTGTGCTTTGTCACTGATTCTATTCATTATTTTTATGGACAGAATTTTTAAGGTAAGGTAATTTGATTTATATAGCACGTTTTCAACAACAAGGCAATATAAAGTGCTATACAAGAATTCAAAGGAAATACAAACAGCCAACACGGTGAGGGAATCCGTTTTAGTGACCTTATGATCGCTTGTGTTTTTTGCAGATGAAATGGTTCTACTGGCTTCATCGGGTCTTAAAAACTGAAGCTCAAACAACGTTCCTATCCTCATCTATTTCCCCTTTTCCACTGGGCTTTACTTCATCAGGCCCATTCTACAGGCCTGGCCTGCCTCTATTTTGGAGTGAACGCATTTCCACAGACCTGGCTCGGCCGCATCAGGGCGACACCTCCTGGCAGTGGGGGGTATGGCGCCCCACTGGTGCTTCATTACTATGCAACCTAATGCCAGTTGTTCCAGAGACAAAAGAAGAAGAGAGAGCAGGACTAGTTTTTAAATAGATTTTTCTGAGATTTCAAGAAAATGTGCAGTGGGAGGAATGCTGCGTTTGTTATCAAGGACAGATGATCTCCACCTTGCAGTGTATTCCAACTACTATAAAACTTGTAATACACTGCCAAATATACATGTGCTAATGTTAGCCAGAGTGTTGCAATTAACTTAATAGTGTCATAATTGCATGTTGGCACCGCACATTCATAATATATGCCAATGTGTTTTCAGATGTTGGAAAACTGTTGCCGCAGACCATCAGTGTGGTTATTTATCGGAGCTGTAGGACTTTGGTGTTTACCTTCAGAATGTTCAGAAACCTCCTATTTTTTGGAGCAGGCATCACATGTGCCCAATGTGCTGATGAAACATTTGCTCATTTCAAGAAAACGTGTCTGATGTCTTAGAGTTGAAATACAGCAGGAGAGCTCAAACTTTTTGAGACCAATATCTACTTTTTCTCTCACCTCATGACACAAAGACATAGAAATTGTAAATTACACCCTATTGACTCATTTTCTATACAAATATACATCAGTTATATCAGAAATGACAAAGTGATAGAAAACCTAATGCAGTTTCTTCCTTAGTGAGATTGTGACACTGGCAGCAGCCGAGCAGAGATTACGTTAAAAACATAATGTTCAGTCCGTTACGATATCAGGTTTCCAGGCTTGATATTTATTTCTCTATTATTAATAAGCCTCTCATGAACTCAGCGGTGGTTGATTCATTTAAACTCCTGATCTGCTCGTCAGTCGGTCTTTGAATCGCCTTTTTATTTGTTAATGGATCTGGAACACAACTAAACAATAATTACTGAGAATATTAATTTTGACATGTTTTGTTGATTTTTTTAATTATTCGTTATGTTATTTTCACTCTGTCAAAGGGTCTGTATTAGGACTTTGATGCTATACAAACTACATTATATACAATAATGTGTGGAGTGGGTATGAAAAAGAGACTTCATTCATTTATTTTGCATTCTTTTGTTTCCCTCATCTCTTTTATATGGAGCTCTGCCATCTCTTTGCTGGTAGCTACTATCCAAGAGTAGTTGTTCATGTTGCTGATGGTTCTCTCCTTTGTTTATCATGTCAACCATGTTCTTCTTCTTCTGTTCCCTGGGAAATGTAATCAGATATTATATCTTATAGAATATAAATATAGACACATAACAGAGTTACGAATGTGGATGTTATATACACAAAATTAATTATTTCAAACAGACACATAACTTTGTATGTAAATTATAAATAACTGGAATAGTCATGTGGATTAAAGACAAAAAGTAATTACTTGTATATTTTAGTCTGTGCAGAGATACAGTCAAGGATAAAATTTCACTCTCGTTTTCTTCAGGTTTATTGTTCATTTTTATGTCCTGCACAATAAATAGTTCATAGCTGTTTAATTAGAGAACTGATATCTACCCATTTAGAAGTATAAAATATTTAAATATATATATATATATATATATATATATATGTTTTATTATCTCACAACAGGGGGAACTCCGGAGCAACAACAGCACAATTGCAAACAATCGAAGCACGTAGATTCACGCAGCTAAAACATAAAAAAATGAAGTGCAACATGCTGCACAATATTGACAAAGTTATGAACAATGCACTCTGATCCTAAGGAATGTGCAACCGAATAGAAATGCGCATGTTGTGTTTGAGCAATAAAAATACAGCAGACTTTGTGTTTCAAATGTCTTCCATGACTGTATATAGGCAACTATAAAATATAGTGAAAAACAGATAGGTCTATCTACAAACTGCTCACCTTGCTGGAGAGCAGCAGTGGCGTTAGCTGCATCTGAACACCGTGGGGCTGCGTCCGGCTCCAAAGTGACTAAATGAGGCTTCCCGTTCTCTCTGCTAAGTTGACAAAAACGACTCACTCCTGACTGCTTCATCAAGCTGTCGCTGAATATTGAAATCCGATGCAAAGAAACGTCACCATCTCATTGTTCCTCCACTTACTTGTAGCTTCCATTACTTAGGTGTTGCAGAAAATTAGCTTTTCTTCTCACTCTTTGCTGCTGCGTCTCACAATATCAATGTCCAAACAATGAACAGGAGCGAAGCTTGTGTCACCCACACCCCCACACAAGGGCTAAAGCAGGGTTAGGCCCTACTGACCCTGTCTTAGTCCTACTAACTAAAGCAGGGTTAGTAGGCCTAACTCTGCTTTTGACCCTACTCCAAAAGCAGAGACATATAAAGCAGGGACCAGCCTCAAATAAATGTCAGTGAAAATGTTCACAAAGCAAGCTGAGAAGAGTGGAGCCATGACACTAAGTCATGAGCTTTGGGTCATGACCAAAAGAAAAAGGTCAAGGATACAAGCGGCTGAAATCTATTTTCATCATAGGGTGTCTGGGTTCTCCCTTAGAGATAAGCTCAGTCATCCTGTAGGGACTCAGAGTAAAGCCACTGTTCCACCATGTCAAGAGGAGCCAGTAAAGGTGGCTCTACTTTCAGGAGGAAACGCAAAGGAAGACCCAGGATATGCTGGATGGACTATGTTTCTCAGTTTGCTTGGAATTTCTTGAGGGGCTGGCCCAAGTGATTGTCTGGGCCTCCCTACTTTGGCTGCCACCGCGGTGACCCAACTCTAGATGAGCGGAAGAAAATGGATGGATGGATGAATATAAACCTAGTTTAAGGCTTGGGCAAAAGGGAAATTCAGTTTTCATGCTTCACTAATGTGGAACAAACTTCCCAAAAGCAGCTGAAATGCTAAAAACCAACTTGTTTCGAGTTGACTTTGATTAACAATAACTAAAACATTGATTAATGTATTTTGATGTATTTGATAACATGTCATGCTTGTTGCTTATTTTATTGGATTTTGTATGTTTTTATCAAATAAAAGACTTTAAACTGCCTTGTTGATGAAAGGCGTTATAAATAAAGTTGGCTTGACTCACCATTGCTTTTCTCACTGTCTGCTGGCTTCATCTGGATTGGGTGATGCATCTAAAACAGAGAGAAATTAGAAACTGCTCATCACAGTGATTTACAAGTTTATCTTCTTCAGTGCTTTTTCTAGATATCCAAAGTGTAATGTTTTCTAACTGTATTAATGGGACTATTATTTTGAAATAAGCAATTACTGAAACCAAATTTACCACTACAAATTAGGGACATTGACTGTGTTTTCAGCTGCCAGTGTATTTATTGTGATGAAGCTAAAATAGGCTAGAAACTCTCACATCAGCAGGCATACAAGTGGATTTATTAAAACCGACATTGTATGCATCATCTGAAAGAAAGAAGATGGGGGCTTTTGGTGTTCCAATTTCATAAATGGAGAAAGCAGAGCTAATATTTAAGGGACTGTTCAAACACAAAACCAAGGAACAGAAATAAAGGCAGCAACATAAGCAATACTTGGACCATGTCAGCAAACAAATCTAAGTTGTTCAAAACCTATTATGACGGCTTCAGAGCATACCTCCTGCCTAAAGCTGACTCAATCTTCACCAGATACAAGTTCCACCAGAAGATGCAGAGTCACGGTGAGTCATTTGAACAGTTTGTCACTGAGTTCAAACTCTTATCTAAGGCAGTGCTTCTCAAATCCAGTCCTCAGGCCCCCCTACTCTGCATGTTTTAGATGTCCCTCTATTCCAGAACAGCTGATTTAAATGATTGCATGAGCATCAAGTACTGTCGAAGCCTGTTAATCACCAAAATATTCAATCCAGGTGTGTGGCAGATGAGAAACCCCTAAAACATGCAGGGCATGGGGGCGTGTGCATGTTACCCACAATTTATTGTTGCATATGTTGTTTTGAGTTAAAAGCTGGAATTATGTCAATATCCTGTTGGTTTTTTTCATCTTCACTGAAATAAGAAGAAATAATAAAGAATAGTCAAAGAAACTGTGAGGAAAATAAAACAAAATGAATGTCAAACATGCCTTGCATTTGTAACATCTTAAGTTAAGGTACTTACTTCTTTGTGATGTTGCACTCTCCTAAATGAAGTTAATTCACTTTAAAAACAGGTGATTTTTAGAAAGTAGTATTTGTGAATAAAAACTGAAGCAGAAGATTTAATCGTTACTGTTTAACTCTTCATCTCTTATTGGAAAACCAAATTTTATTATATTAAAACTTAAGGATGAAATAGATTTTTTGTAGAATATCCAGTTTTTAAATTGTTTTTAAAAACATTAATAAAATTGCAATTGAGAAAAGGTGCATCATCTCAAAACCTCAGTCAGAAAATCCACATGAATGAATATTATTTTGAACTTCTCTTGCAGAAGGTCATTACAGGAAAAACTTCATATATTATGAATGGAGTGGAAAAGAAAGATATTTGGTTAGTCTCTTCCTTAGAGAAATCATCATGATTTTTAAACAAATAATTTCTTGTCAGGCTACATAGGAAGAAAATTGATGTCATTGTGTTCTTTGTGGATTTCTTGTAACATTTTTGGCATATAAAGTCACAACCATTCAGGTTTGTTTTGAAGAAACACATTTTAGTTCCACTCGTCCAGTGGTTCCCTAGGGGGGTTGCTGTGCCATTGCAGTGGGGGGTTTGGGGGAGTCGTTTTTTTTTTTTTTTTTTTGTCATGGATGAATGACAAAAAAGAAACAGTTATGCAAAGTGTTTCACTGCAAAGATGGTTTGTAGTTTGTTTTGTGGCAACCTGAAGTGAGAAATAAACTTCAGTAGAGTTTGAGAACAAAATTGTCACATCCACTGAGCTGAGCTGAGTGCTGTGAGTGCGTGGATGTCCTACCTTTTCTCCTGCAGGGTGTGTCAGGCAGGCGTAGCCAGCTGCAGCTCATCAACATCAGGAGGGGCAGCTGGATTCTAGTGGCAGATGCCACATGGTTTTGTGGTACCTAGTGGTAACCTGTGCTACCTAGTAGTCATTATTAGCAAGTCCCAGTCATTGTTCTAACTTTGTACCTGTCTGTTTTTTCACATTGATCTCCCATCCAGTCAACCTGTCAGTAACTCATCTTTCCCCACCAGAGAGAAACACCGACTGGTTCTCACCTCTCGCCGTCAGTCAGCTGTTAAATTTGACTTAATGGTTTCAGCATCGATAAATTAAAATATTCTGCTCAAAAAAATAAAGGGAACACTCAAACAACACAATATAAGTCCAAGTAAATCAAACTTCTGTGAAATCAAACTGTCCACTTAGAAAGCAACACTGATTGACAATCAATATCACCTGCTGTTGTGCAAATGGAATAGACGACAGGTGGAAATTATTTTCATATTTATTTCATTCATTCAGATGTAGGATGTGTCATTTGAGTGTTGCCTTTATTTTTTTGAGCAGTGTATTTTAAATTGTTTAACATTTAAATTTAAGATTTTAAAGAGCTGGAAAGTTTACTTTTTTTTACAAAGTTCAAAGGGCAATCTTCATAGATTGTTTTACCATAGCAACAATCTGATGCTCTCAGTTTAATCTTTGACTTTTAGCTGTTCGTCAATGCTTTGAGGACATTTGACTTAACGTTGAACTGCAGCCAGAGCTTTTCAACGTACTTCATCAAATTCAACAGAAAGATCAGGGTGCCCAGGTCAAGTTCTTGAATCTAATATCCTGCAACTTCAGATGTACCCTGGCTCCAGTCCACTTTCAACTATACAAATACATTCATGAAACTATTACAAGAAACGTCACTTTTTGAGCAGTTTACATTTAGAGGAGATAAAAAGGCTGTCACAAACCCCAGGCAGGATCTTCAAGTTGTGTAGAGAATTCTGTGCTTCCAAGGCTGATTTACGAGTATAATATGTTACAAAACAGCAACCTGCCAAAAAATAAAAAAGTGTTAAAACAAGTTCCACAATCAGTCTTGACTGACTGATGAATAACATGTGAATTTTATTTTGTCTTACAAAACAAAATTCTCCAACACATGAATGTGGGCTTAATGAATGGTATTTTAGTACTTACTTAAAGATATTTTCAAAAGGCACTTTTTGTCCATCAAGCAAAACTTAAGAGCCCTTAAATAAATAAGTAAATAACTAAGGATGTGCTTGTACATCTTAAGGAAGCTGAGATCCTTTAAGGTTTGCAGCAAGATGCTGCAGATCTTCTATAAAGCTGTTATTGAGAGTCTCATCTTTTCTTCTCTCTTGTTGAGGAAGCAGAATCAGACCTGGGGACCTAAAAACACCAACTGATAAAGAAGGCTGCTTCAGTTCTGGGGGCTGTTGTGGAACCTTCTTGAGGTGATGAGTCAAAGAAGGATTTTACTTAAAATCAAGAAAATTATGAACAACCCTGACCATCCTCTTCATGAAACTGTCTGAGGAAAACAGAATGTCTGTAATTAGAGGCTTCTTCAAAATTTGCTGTAATGCTGCCATCCCCATCTACAATAACTGAAGTTTGAAGTTGTATGAGTTCAAACAACTTTTCCCGATAGGATCAATAAAACATTTTTGAATTAGAATTCTCCTGAGGCAGCAGCTCTTATTTATTTCATTTGTCATAACTGACATTCAGAAGATTTATCTTTATGCTTATTGTTCTCATATTTCTTTGTTAAAGGCAGTAATTACATTTCTAAGAATTTGGGTTTATGAGTTTTAAAATGTTTGACTTGAATTGACTGTTAAAAGATTCAGTGTGCTCTTCAATATACACAAAACATTGATTTTATCCATGCATGTATGTGTTTGCCTGGTGACCTTTGCTCTGTGGTGGGTTTTGGCTCCGGTCTCGTAAGATATTGATCTCGTAGACTGATCCAAAGGGTTCAAAGAGTTCACGAAGCTGCTCTTCAGACCATGATCGTGGGATTTGTCCAACAAACATCTTAATAGCATCTATATCTGGTTGATCTGGATGATCCAGAGATCCATTCATCTTCTTCCTGCTTTAGGCACAAATACAATTAGACAGACAAAAAAAAGGACATGAAAGTTTGCAACTATACTTGCAAAGTGTGTGTTTGGTATATAATTTATCTAGTAGTTTTTTTCATTTCAACTCAAAATGATGTTATTTCATCAATGAGCCTTTATTGTATTCCATTTCAAAGTAAAAATTTTTCATCATTCACTATAAAAATGAAATTTTAATTAATAATTTAATACCCTTTTCCTGTGAAATTAATTAATGACTTTCTATTGGCATAATCCTCAATGTCGTCAAGGCCTCATTTTACAATTCTCTTTCAAAATGTCTTTAGTTCTTAACACTCACATTTTGGAGCCAACAGTGATACCTTGTGACTAAGAATGTAACTGCATGACTGAGATTGGTGCCACTATAACTCAATGCCAAAGAGGATTACAGCTATTGAAAAAAAATTGTGACTCTAGTCTCAGAATACTGACATTTTTCTCAAAATTCTAACTCAAAAGCAGAAGGTTCCTGGAAGGAACCAGCTTCAATGACCAGGACACAAGTTGTGGAAGGGGACAAAGGTCAGGGTCGTTGGTGGTTTGAGTTGTTTTGAGCTTTGGTTATTACTAATAGGGCAGGCTGTATTGGTCAAGGCCTTTCTTTGGTGATCTGGCCCCAAACAGGAGGGACACAGATCATGCTCATCTTCCAACTGACCGTCCTCCAATTGCAGAACCTGTTTGCCGTGCTGCAGACAGGTTCTGCAGCACGCCATGTCCAGCATCTCAGGCTCACCAACCTAGATCAGGTTGAGCTGAAATCGCAACCCTTGATACTTAAGCTGACGACCAAATAGACCAGGGAACCCGATCGAGCAGAAAACGCCACCAGGAGTGAAAAGCTGCAAGGAGCACTATGACCACTGAAGCTACAGAAAAAGTTTAAACCCAGCACCGTTGCAATACTCAATGAGGCAAGTCGAACACGGCTGCACAATGTAAACAAGACACAATCAGTTTTCAGCTAATTAAATCCAAGTCTATGGAACACAAAATGTCATTAAAGTCACTCTGCCCTTCTAAAATCTTTCAGAAAATCGTAAAAGTGGATCAAATCGTATAAAATTGCATCATTTGCCAAATATCGTGATACATATTGTATTGTGATCAGAAAGTCATACATCGCATCATATTGTGAGATTATAGTATTGCTACACCCCTATTAAATACCATTTAGTACTATTTTTATCACCTAATTTTGTTATAATTGATGTAACTTTATTGCATGGTTTCTATAATGATAATAAAGATTATTATCATTCTAATTGCTGCTTTTAGTTTAGAATATAATATTTCCACCAATTTGCAGAACATAGATTCAAATCCAAATTTTAGAAGTGTTGTTTTAAGAAATCCCCACTTCACGTGGTCAAAGGCTTTCTCACATCTAAAACAGGAGTCTCAAACTCCAGTCCTTGAGGGCCACTGTCCTGCAGTTTTTCGATGTGCCACAGGTACAACTTGGAATGAAATGGCTTAATTACCTCCTCCTTGTGTAGATAAGATCTCCAAAGCCTTAATGACCTAATTATTCTATTCAGGTGGTGCAGCAGAGGCACATCTAAAAGTTTCAGGACACCGGCGCTCAAGGACCGGAGTTTGAGACCCCTGGTCTAAAGAGAATGCCACAACAACTGCAGACCTGTTCTTAATAAGGCCTACCTGGTCTTCCTTTTGATATCGGGAAGTATTTTTCTAACTGTGAGGTCGGTATCTTTGTTAGTATTTGGAAGTCTACTCTTATTAGACTAATGGGTTTGAAATAACATCTCTGTCTTTTTTTGAAATAATTGAGATCAAAGCCTCATTGAAAGTGCCAGGTAGAGAACCTGATTCTCAATATACATTGTGCAGCTCTAGGGCTATGATGTTAATATATTTTCTATAATGTCCAACTGGAAAGCCATCCAGGCCCGGAAATTTCCCAGGTTTTATAGACAAGATCATAGCTTTGATTTCTTCCAAAGTGAGAGAAGACTCCAATTTTTTTCTTTGCTCACGGCAGATGGTAGGCAACTTCAATGATGAGGAAAAAAAGCCTACATTTTTTTCATGTGAGGTTTATTAGTGTATGCATAGAGTTTTTATAAAACTCTTCAAAGACCCTATTTCTATCTTTGGCTGCAGCGAATGTCTTACCACCTTTTTTTAATTAGTGGAACGTTATTGACGTTATCTTGTTGTTTATCTTGTCTCATCTTCTAAATAAGGCATATTCAGCTTTTTTATTATTTATTTTATGGATCTTATATTTAAGATTACAAAGTGTTTGATATATATTTGAGTAGTTCTGTGCTATTTTTTTCCTCTAACAAACACATTTCTTTTTACAATGTTTTTTTTTATTCTTTCCTACTGTTTTCTTTTTTAATTTTTGATGCATAAGCAACGAATTTTACCCTTATGTATTCTGTTGACGCTCCCACACAGTGGCTATATTATCTGTGAAACCATTATTTACTTGGAGAAAAAACATAAAGTCCTCCAAAATAGAGCTACTAAATGCCTCATTTTGAAGTAGCATAGCATGAAGTCTCCAACATCCTTTCCTTTGTTTTTCCACATTGAAGTCTGTATACAACTCCACTATGCACTATGATAACTGTTCCTATTTCACAACCCATTACTGACTCCACTAGCTTATTAGGTATTAAGAAAAAGTCAATTCTAGAATATATCTAGAATGAATAAAAAGTATTTTCTTTCTCCTGTGGGTTTCATCCCTTCCTTATCATTATGATGCTTAAGCATAACAAAGCTTATGTTTTTAATAATGACGATCATTACACTAAGGTGCTTGCTTGAATATGAGCTGTGGCACACCTTCCCCACCCAACGTCTTTTGAACTTAGCAGCTTCTTCATCCTCAGTGATATGTGATTTCTGGCTGAATGCAACATCAACGCCTTTGTCAAACATTTTGTCTTTTAATTGGATCCATAAATATTCCACGATGTTATGTTTGACAATGTAGAAGAAAATTATTATAAGGTAATATCTGCTCTATGTTTATTCTAAATTATTGTACATTTCCACCGGACAAAGCTGTTTGAGTTACATGTACAAGATAGGGAGTTGTTTTCTACAGCTGAATCAGAACCAGACTGTCTCGTCCCTTGTCTGGAAACCCTTATGCTTGGTATAAAACTCATGTGTTGTCTCTGCCTGGCAGAGGTTTCCACCCAGAATTGCTTCTTTATTGATTGTCATTGCGTTCTATAGCAATAATTTACTGATTAGTAGATTATTGGCGTCCAGAGACAATAATTTTATCTTGGGCCGGCCCTGCATGCTCTGCATTATTTTAAGTCATGATGTCTTAAGGTGCATTGACACTCGTTCTGTTTAGTCCGCTTTAATCATTCGTTTGTCTAAAAAGTCTGATTTATTTGGGGAGTGTGAATGCAAATTTGAATTCTAATAAGGACTAAAGAGTTAACTCTGAAGTACCTATAAATCTAGGTCTTGGTCCAGCTGAAGTGAATGCAGTAAGAATGCAAGCAGAACGGAGGTCAGTTGCCATGGCAACAGGTCTGCGTGCCGTCACAGAGAACGAGGAAACACAGAACATAAATTTAAATTTGTTTCTCTGATTGTTTTCCCTTTGATGTGGCGCAACGCAGCTGCTATCATTTTTAAAACTTTAATAAATGTCAAAAGCTGGACTAATTGCCTCATTTGTCTGAACATACATTTGTAACAGTCAAATATGACATATTTCATAAAGTATGAGTCATGGTTTGTTACATTTTGTCAAACTAATGTTAACAGCAGCAATTATACAATATTAATTTAATATAAAAGAGCAATTTGCTTAGTCCTCTCTTACATCTTCAGAAAAGCTCAAAGGGCTTAACTCCACATAATTGTTTGATGTTAGCACCTCTGAGATCTAGAATTGCAGGACAGATGTATCAAGCCAAAGAAAAGTCAGTAGCTGCTGGTAGGGCTGCATGGTTGAACTGTAACTCTGACCATACATCTAAAGCTCTAACAGTCATTTATTGAGAATGTCAATGTTATAACATTTTATTTAATGCATTCAGCAGAGAGAAAAAATAAATTGTACATTCAGGATTTAATTAGGACGTTTACTTTGTGAAAGTGTAAAGAATAATCTGTATAGTTTGATTATTGTGTTACCATGGCTACAATATGGTGTAATCTTATTGGGCTTTGTTCACAAATACATTACAGAAAATAATAACCAATATTCAGTGATAGATTTGAAACTCAGCCAATTGTCACAGACTTCATCTACATTTAAACACTGTTAGTGATGCAGGTGTTCTTAGTAGGGGAGGGCTGACGGGGGCTAAATCAGGATTTTATCTGAGGCCCTGTATTACCTTGGGCCGGCCCTGCATGAACAGCGAGCCGCATCTCTGTGCTGGAATCTACCTGGAATTTCCAGGTGCCAACTTTGTAATAAAGTGTCATCATTTACAAAATAATGCAATGCTGGCACTTGCATTAAAAGTGTCATTATTTACCAAAATACACTTGATGACTACTCTCATAGACATTCATAAAGACTTCATGTTCATGACAGGTGTTATGTCATGTTTATGACATTGTCATGCCAGTCTTAAGCACACCCTGTCAAATAAAGTTCTTCCAAAATTATTTTGTTTTTACATCATTTGATCTGATCAGAAAACATCATCTTTCATCGTTCATAGATAAGACTTATCCCTTTCTTGTCAGGGATAACATTTCTCGTCAATATGCGGTTGTTTTGACAAGATATACAAATCTCATCAGGCACGCGATTCTTGGCACAACACCCATGTGCAATCTTGCGTCTCTGCACTGCTGTGACAAATGAAAGGAGGGGTAAGGAAATGTTTGCCTTTTCCGTATCACAACTGTTATTTGTGGGAGTTTCAGCCAGCCTTACTACATCAGTGACACGACTTGCACAACACTATATATATATATATATATATATATATATATATATATATATATATATATATATATATATATATATATATACACTGCTCAAAAAAATAAAGGGAACACTCAAACAACACAATATAACTCCAAGTAAATCAAACTTCTGTGAAATCAAACTGTCCACTGATTGATAATCAATATCACCTGATGTTGTGCAAATGGAATAGACAACAGGTGGAAATTATTTTCATATTTATTTCATTCATTCAGATCTGGGATGTGTTATTTGAGTGTTCCCTTTATTTTTGGGAGCAGTGGATATATATATTGTATTTGTATGCATGTTTGAGTTTGTATAATGCTTTTCTAGTCATACCACACTGCATCCGGTAAATCAAACTTCTAAATGTATATGTAGTTAATGTTCAATAAATGCACACAAGAACTTCATGAGGATTAGGAGGATAAAGAACATATTGGTGAAAGGGATCTTGGAAGAAAGAGATGAAAAAGTAAAGCTTGACTACATTATTCAGTTTACAGTTGTGAAAAATGAAGGGAGGCAGACAAATAAATGTCAGTGGGCTTGTGCTCTCTGGAAAATTAGTTCAAACAAAGGCAACCAGACACTACTGCTAACACAAGTACTGTCAGAAACAAAGCATCAACTTGCACACACATTTCAGCTGTTTAAACTAAACAACAAACTGAAGATGTTATTTTTGACAATCTATTTGTACAAATAATGCATTGATTAAGCAACACAACCACCTTATCCTAATTTTAAGACATAGAGTACTTACACAGGACTATTGTCCAAAGAGTGATGATCGACCAACATCTCTGGGAGAAAATCCAATTTAAAAGAGGTCATAACTGTAAAATTGTTTCTTTTCTTCCTTTTTTTATACAAGGGAGCTGCACAGTTCCAGGGACGATTAGTAAACAGTTTATTCCTGCTTGTATGTCTCTGAGAACTTAGAGGATTAAGGTTACCAGAGTTCAGAGACTCAAAAGTTTGATGGGGTTCTAAAGTGATTTTGGCAAATAAATAAATCAATACTTGTATCAAAAAGATCCGTTTAAAAATCCATCTAATGGACGTATCTGATGTTCAAAATGCCAAAAATGACAGCCGGGTGGTTGTTGGGGAAATAACCCCATGAAAACTGAGAGACACTGGGACAGCAAGGGCGAGACAGAGTAATGGGCCATGTGCACACCACAACTAAAGTGCTGATGGTTCATATTCTTTGTGTGACAGAGCAACTGAATCTGCTGGCCTCAGAGAAAAGCACTAAGAGTGTCAAATTGATGGTGATAAGGCTGACTGGGCAAATGGAATGAACAGGGAAGCAATGTTGCTTTTCAATCAGCAACCAATTCCTGAATAAGTGTGAGCAAGCTTGTATGTTATCATGCACTGTCATTTTTATTGTATTTTTAAAGATCATAGGTATGTAATTGCCAGTTTTTTTTGCAACCCACTTGAGTGTATGTCTGACCCATCTATTTGAAACTGCCTGTTATTCAGTGTACTCTGCCTGTTACTATTACAAATATGGGGAACTCAACAAATGTGGAGTAGTGTTGCGCAAAAATAGATATGACTGATTCAAATACAAATTAATTAGTGCCCAAAGCAATTATTAACAATTACAGTAATGTAGATCAAATGGACCACGTTGGGGCAACAACTGATTATCAAGAAATAGTCAAATTATTTTTGAGGCTGTTTAATGAATGCCTACTTGATGAGATCAGTGCTAAGTAATTCTCTCAATCTCACCATCAGTTTTTAAAGTAGATGGGACAAATATTATACTATCACACAATGTACATAAAAGGGTATTGAAATATATAATTATCTATTAATTATTTCAAGAATATCAAACTAAGCCCCTTAACCACAAGTCAATGATTCGGCTGGTCTTATTTTTTCCTAACAAAACTGTGTTCACAGCTCATGGGTGAACAGGAAATGTCAAACATACAGACACACACACATTATATATAAAAAAAAAATTCCCTTCTCACCCACCGCGGGTGGTTCTTATCCTCTGAGCCTCTACCAGAGGCCTGGGAGCTTGAGGGTTCTGCGCAGTATCTTGGCTGTGCCAAGGAGTGCTGCACATTTCTGGACTGAGATGTCTGATGTTGTTCCTGGGATCTGTTGTAGCCACTGCTCCAGTTTGGGGGTGACTGCCCCGAGGGCCCCGATGACCACAGGCACCACTGTGGTCTTCACCTTCCAGGCCCTCTCCAGTTCTTCCCTGAGGCCCTGGTATTTCTCCAGTTTCTCGTGCTCCTTTTTCCTGATGTTGCAATCACTTGGTATTGCTACATCTACCACAACGGCTTTCCTCTGTTGTTTATCCACTACGACAATGTCTGGTTGGTTCGCCATTACCATTTTGTCTGTCTGGATCTGGAAGTCCCACAGGATCTTAGCTCTGGCGTTCTCCACCACCTTTGGGGGTGTTTCCCACTTTGATCTCGGGGTTTCCAGTCCATATTCTGCACAGATGTTTCTGTACACTATGCCTGCCACTTGGTTATGTCGCTCCATGTACGCTTTCCCTGCCAGTATCTTGCACCCTGCTGTGATGTGCTGGACTGTCTCAGGGGCCTCCTTGCACAACCTACACCTTGGGTCTTGTCTGGTGTGGTAGATCTGGGCCTCTATTGCTCTGGTGTTTAGGGCCTGTTCCTGGGCGGCCAGGATGAGGGCCTCTGTGCTGTCCTTGAGTCCAGCTTTTTCCAGCCATTGGTAGGATTTACTGATATCAGCCACTTGGGTTATTTGCTGGTGGTACATCTCATGTAGGGGCTTGTCCTCCCATGATGGTATCTCTGGCACCTCAACCTCCGTTCCCTGTTGTCTGAGACATTCACTGAGCACATTGTCAGTTGAGGCTTTGTCCCTGATGTATTTATGGATCTTAGTTGTTTCGTCCTGGACAGTGGTTCTCACACTCACTAGTCCTCTGCCTCCGTCCTTGCAGCTCGTGTACAGTCTCAGGGTGCTGGATTTGGGGTGGAACCCTCCATACATGGTTAGTAGCTTTCTAGTCTTAATATCTGTGGCTTTTATCTCCTCCTTTGGCCAGCTGATTATTCCAGCAGGGTATTTGATTACTGGCAGGACATAGCTGTTTATCGCACGGATTTTGTTCTTGCCATTGAGCTGGCTTCTCAGGACTTGCCTTATTCGTTGGAGGTATTTAGCTGTGGCTCCTTTCCTTGTGGCCTCATCGAGGTTGCCATTTGCTTGTGGTATACCTAGGTACTTGTAACTGTCCTCTATGTCTGCTATTGTTCCTTGAGTGTTGTGGGAGTGAGACTCCTTCTGTGCGGATCACCTTCCCCCTCTTTGTGATCAGCCGACCACACTTCTCTAGTCCGAATGATATCCCAATGTCAGTGCTGTAGATCCTTGTGGTGTGGATCAGTGAGTCGATGTCTCGCTCACTCTTGGCATACAGCTTGATGTCATCCATGTAGAGGAGGTGACTGATGTTGGCCCCATTTTTGAGTCGGTATCCGTAGCCAGTCTTGTTGATAATTTGGCTGAGGGGGTTCAGGCCTATGCAGAACAGTAGCGGGGACAGAGCATCTCCTTGGTATATGCCACATTTGATGGACACTTGTGCAAGTGGTTTGCAGTTGGCTTCAAGGGTGGTTTTCCACAGCTTCATCGAGTTTGCAATGAAGGCTCTCAGAATCCTGTTGATGTTATACATCTGTAGGCATTCAATGATCCAAGTATGCGGCATTGAGTCATAGGCTTTCTTGTAATCGATCCAAGCCATGCACAGGTTGGTGTGTCGGGTTTTGCAGTCTCGGGCAACTGTGCGGTCTACGAGGAGTTGGTGTTTGGCTCCTCTGGTATTTACACCGATACCCTTCTGTGCCGTGCTCATGTTTATCCATGTGTTTGCTTATCTTGGCCGCTATGGTTGGGAAAAAATTTGGCCGCTTCCAGGTTGTGGAGAGGCAGGTTATTGGTCGGTAGTTGGGTGGGACTGGACCCTTTGATGGATCCTTCTGGATTAGGATTGTCCGCCCTTCAGTTAACCATTCAGGGTGAGTCCCACTTTGTAGCAGCTGGTTCATTTGGGCTGCCAGTCGCTCATGGAGAGCAGTGAGTTTCTTTAGCCAGTAGGCATGGATCATGTCAGGCCCTGGTGCTGTCCAGTTTTTCATGCCTGAGACTCTTTCTTGAACATCTGTCGCAGTGATGGTTACCGGGGCTTGCTCAGGGAGGTTGCTGTGGTCCTCTCGTAGAGAAATCAGCCACTGTGCATTGCTGTTGTGGGACGCCTCCCTTTCCCATATGCCTTTCCAGTATTGTTCAGTCTCCAGCCTTGGTGGGTCTGCTCTGTTGTTATTACCCTGCCATTGAGAGTACACCTTAGCTGGTTGAGTGGAGAAGAGCCGGTTAATCCTTCTGGATTCATTCTCCCTTGGGTATCTGCCTGTACTTTCTGGGTACTGGTCTTTTCATTGTACCCTTGTGGAGCTCTGACAGTTGGCTCACTTCCCTCCTTGTTACCTTGATTTTAGCCTCTAACCGTCTTTTCCATGGTGGGTATTGGGTCTCATGGTTGCTCTTATAGCCAAGTATCTCAAGGATCACTGATGCTGAGTTGTAGATCAGCTCATTGGTTTCTGTTATGGTGTTGGTAGGGATCGTTCTCAATGCTGCATTCTTTCTCACTTTCTGATGGTACTTCACTCAGCCGTTGTAATTGGCGCCGGGGAGGCCTGGTTGTCATTCGGGTCATGATTCTCTCTCAGGTCAGCAGCTGTCTCGTTCAGCTCTGTTTCGCTCATTTCGCGCATTTGTTGTGCGACATACACAGTTTCACCTCACTGGGTGGGGACTTGTAGTTAAGTCCCCACAGTCCTGACATCCGGGTTCCTCCCTTTTGCCGTAGCATTTGTGTTGTATCTCGTCAATCTCAAGTTGTAATAGCAGTTGCCGTTTGCGGATGTTGGAACATTGAGCTACTAGTTGTTTAGCGCTTAGTGTTGACTGGGGATGTCGAAGTAACCATTCCTTCCCCAGTCTTTGCATGTAACCTCTCTCACTAGGGTTACTTGAGTAGTAGCATTCCAACAGATCCACATTTTCATCTCTCGCCCATTTCTCGCCCATGTTTGGCCGGGCGACGTCTGAGCCGGCATGTTACGCAACTTAGTATCTCTCATGGTATGAGGTAGGCAGTAGCTTGAAGGGTCTTGCCTAAGGACCCAGACTGGATTCGAACCCTGCCCTCTCGGGTGATATACTGATGCCTTATGTATTGAGCTATCCAGTCAGCTATATAAGTCAGGTCTATATAACATATAGACCTATATATATATATATATATATATATATATATAGATATAGATCTATATATATATATATATAGAGGTCTATATAACATATAAACCTCTATATATATATATATATATATATAGAGGTCTATATGTTTTTAGATAACTTTTTATCAGAAAAAGTCAAAATTGGATAGTTTCACAGAATGGATCTTTCTGCCTGCAGCTTGTGTTACCAATCATCCAGCTCTACCACGGAAAAAATGTGAAATTAGCTGGTAGGCTCCTCAAGATTTCACCGTTTATTTTGTTAATTCATAACCATATTCACAATACATTTCTACATATCACATTCACGTTTTAGAAAAATATAAAATCAGAATAAAAATGGGTTTTTTTCTTGGGGTGGTAGAGTGCCGTCTAAACCAGGTGGTGATAGCGCTTCCCTCCAAAGTCACTGCTTCCTTTATTGGTTGTTTTGACCTCTCCAACTCTTTGTCTGAAGCTCTTCTGTTCTTCCTTTTCGACTGACAAACTGTCCTTCAACAGTTTTACTGGAAGTGTCCTTTTTGACTGTCTGATTCAAATAACCATTGTGGAAGTCAGCTGCTGTAAGTCGTTTGTTGAGAAGAACTGTCCTAAAGGCCACCCAACCATCCTGCAAAATAAAACAAATATATGCTGAATTATAAACAGCTGTAGTTTCATTCATGACTTTATTTTGAACTACATAAAGGAAAAAAGGCATTTATTTAGTAGGTAAAAAAATGAACAAGCTAAAATATATATCTACATCACAACCCATTGAGTCATCAAATTCATGTTTTATATAGTAATACTGTATTTAGACATACAGAAAAATACATTTAGCTCAAAAAGGAGTGGGAAGAAGACAAACCTATTTCCTCAAAACTCACTCACTCTGTCTCTCTCTCTCTCTCTCTCTCTCTCTCTCTATATATATATATATATATATATATATATATATATATATATATATATTATATATATATATATAATATAAACTGGAGCAGTGGCTACAACAGATCCCAGGAACAACATCAGACATCTCAGTCCAGAAATGTGCAGCAGTCCTTGGCACAGCCAAGATACTGCAGAACCCTCAAGCTCCCAGGCCTCTGGTAGAGGCTCAGAGGATAAGAACCACCCGCGGTGGGTGAGAAGGGAATTTTATATATATATATACATATCTATATATATATGTATATCTATATATATCTATATATAGATATAGATTGCATTTGTTGTGCGACATACACAGTCCACCGCACAACAAATGCGGAATACAGCCCCTACAGTTTTGACAAATGGAAGTGGAAGACATTACCCTTCCACGCCCAGAAGAAGAACGGTGCTCAGAAGTGAGACAGGCGTTTCGGGGAAGCAAAACCATGCAGAAAAAAATCTTCCTAAAAGCACAAGTGAGGTTTTTATCCTCTGTTTGATGAGAACACGGGATAAAAAAATTCAATTTATCGGTTTGGATCAGACAGATCTAAATGACTGATGAACTAGCACTGATTTCTCTGCAGATGTGACCAGGAGGGATTTGTGAGGCTCTGCGTTCAGACCCCAGCAGATGAAGTGCTTGTAATTTAAGTAGAGTCGTTTAATTTCATCCATCCATCGTCTGCCGCTTATCCGGGGTCGGGTCGCGGGGGTAGCAGTTTCAAAAGGGAGGCCCAGACTTCCCTCTCCCCAGCCACTTCTTCTACCTCCTCCGGGGGAATCCCCAGGGAGACATAGTCCCTCCAGCGTGTCCTCGGTCTTTCCCGGGGCCTCCTCCCGGTATGACGTGCCCGGAACACCTCACCAGGGAGGTGTCCAGGAGGCATCCTGACGAGATGCCCGAGCAACCTCAACAGGCATGGAGCCCCAGAGAGCACCCTGGATGTTGAGGAGCAGCGGCTCTACTCTGAGCCCCTCCTGGATGACCGAGCTTCTCACTCTATCTCTAAGGGAGAGTCCAGCCACCCTACAGAGGAAACCCATTTCGGCTGCTTGTATCCGTGATCTCGTTCTTTTGGTCATGAGCTTTGGGTCATGACCATAGATGAGAGTAGGAATGTAGATTGACCGATAAATCAAAAACTTTTTGGTTCAGGTCTCTCTTAACCACGGCGAACCGGTACAGCGCCCGCTTCACGGCAGACGCTGCACCAATCCGCCTGTCGACCTGCCACTCCCTACTTCCCCCATTCGTGAACAAGATCTCAAGATAATTGAACTCCTCCACTTGGGGAAAGACACACCTCTCAACCCAGAGAAGTCGCTCTACCTTTTTCTGGCTCAAGACCATGGCCTCAGATTTGGAGGCACTGATCCTCATCCTGGATGCTTCACATGTGGCTGTGAACCGCTACAGTGAGAGCTGCAGATCATGTTCTAATGGAGACAACAGCATCACATCACCTGCAAGAAGCAGACATGCAATTCTAAGGCCACCAAAACGGATCCTCTCAACACTTTGGCTGCGCCTAAAAATTCAGTCCATGAAAGTAATAGACAGAATCAGTGACAAAGGGCAGCCCTGGCGGAGTCCAACTCTCACCAGAAATGAGGCCGACTTATTGACGGCAATGCGGACCAGACTATGACACTAGTCATACAGGGACCTGACAGTCTGTATCAAAGGGCCCGGTACCCCATATTCCCGGAGAACCCCCACAGAGCTCAAAGAGGGACACAGTCAAATGCCTTCGCCAAGTCCACAAAACTCATGTAGACCAGTTGGGTAAACTCCCATGGACCCTCGAGGACCCTGCTGAGGGTATAGAGCTGGTGTGGTTTTCGTCCATGACCAGGATGAAAACCACACTCCTCTCCAGGTCCCCTGAATAGACCTTGCCAGGGAGGCTTAAGAGTGTGACCCCTCTATAATTGAAACACCCTCCAGTCCCCCTTTTTGAACAGGTGGACCACCACCCCAGTCTGCCAATCCAGGGGAACTGCCCCCAATGTCCATGCGATACTGCAGTCGCGTCAACCAACGCAATCCTACAACATCCTGAGCTTTAAAGAACTCCAGGCAAATCTCATCCAGCCCCAGGGCCCTACCACTGAGCAGCTTTTTAACCACCTCGGTGACCTCATCCCCAGAGATTGAAGAGCCCGACCCAAAGTCCTTGGGTTCAGCTTCCTCAATGGAAGGCATATTGATGGGATTGAGGAGGTCTTTGAAGTATTCTGCCCACTGGCCCACAACATCTTGAGTCGAGGTCAGCAGCACACCATTCCCACTATAAACAGTGTTGGTGCTGCACTGCTTCCCTCTAGATGGTAGACCAGAATCGCCTCGAAGCCGCTTGGAACTCTTTCTCCATGGCCTCATCAAACTCCTCCCACACCGGGGTTTTTGCCTCAGTAACCAGCCGAGCCGCATGTCGCTTCGCTCGCCGGTACCCATTAGCTACTTCAGGAGTCCCACAGGCCAAAAACGGATCCCCTCAACACTAGAAATTCTGTCCATGAAAGTAATGAACAGAATCGATGACAAAGGTGGAGTTGGTGGAGTCCAACTCTCACCAGAAACGAGCCCGACTTACTGCCGGTAATGCAGACCAGACTGTGACACAGGCTATACAGGGACCTTGACAGTCCGTCAAGGACTGTCAAGGTCCCAGTACCCCATACTCCTGGAGAACCCCTTGCAGGCCTCCCCGAGGGTTCGAAAAATTATAATTGAACCAAAAAGCACAAATGATTCCATTAAGGAATATCTCAAACTGGTTCAAAGATTTAAATCTCCCAAAGATGATTGAAGCCGCACAAGAGGTTCTCAATACAGACATCACTGTGGAAGAGATCCTTGATGTAATCAAATCATTTCCCAATGCCAAAGCCCCAGGGCATTTTAGTTTTATAGAGAACTGAACTCTATAAAAGATATGCCAAGAAGATTGCTCCTCTCCTCCGATCGACGTTCGCTCAATCTGTTGATTCAGGTAAATTTTCTCATACTATGTATGAAGCTAACATTAATACATAAAGTAGGCAGGGAGGAGACAGAGCTTTCTTCTTATCGTCCTATTTCATTATTGAATTCGTACATTAAAATATTTGCTAAAGTAATGGAAAATAGGCTAAATAAACATATTTCTTCTGTAGTTCACCTGGATCAAACAGGCTTTGTCCTTAAAAGGTTTTCATTTTTTAATATCAGTTGGTTGATGAACATTACGTATCATAAAAATTATGATAAGTTTAAGGGAGCTGTTCTTTGCTTGGATGCTGAAAAGCCATTTGACCAATTGGCGTGGCCTTGCATCCTGACTGTACTTAAGGAGTCTGGGTTTGGTAGTAAATTTGTGTCTTGCATTAAAACAATGTATGCTCAACGATCTGCCTCTATCCTCACAAACCAGGACAAATAACAGCCCTTTCTACTACATCGGGGAACCCATCAGGGTTGCCTCCTTAGTCCTCTGCTTTTTGTGGTCACTATGGATCCCCTCGTAATTAGTATTAGAAAACACTCCCTAATCAAACCAATTCAAATGGGAAACATTGACCATCATAGTTCATTGTATGTTGATGATGATGTTATTGTATCACATCATGAGCAGTCCGTGCCAAATCTCCTAGAATTTTTTTTGTCATTCGATGAGATTTCAGGTTATACTATTAACTGGGAGAAGAGTGAATTTGTCATTAGATGCAAGCCTTACTTCTGCATCCTTAGGTAACATATCATTTAAGATAATTGACAAACTGAAATATCTTTGAGTTATTTTGCCAAAAGACCCCAAACAAATTTTCAAACTGAACCTTTTAGAAAAAGGAGATAATCTTAGGAAAGATGTTGATAAAAGGAGAACACTCGCCCTCTCAATGATGGGCCACATAAATGCTATTAAAATGCTGTCCTTGCCTAAATTTTGACATCTTTTTAAAGGTCTGCCTATCTTTCTAACAAAGGCCTTTTTTAAATCGTTGGACTCAACAATTTTGCCTTTTGTCTGGGGCTTTAAAGCCCACAGAATATCAAAAACTCACTTACATAAACCAAGAGAGATGGGGGATTAGGATTACCCTGCTTTCAGCACTGTTACTGGGCCGTGAATGCAAGGGCCTTGGTATACTGGCAGGAAGGTGATGCTCAAGAACTGTCTGCAAATTCTCCCCCTTGGAAGGCTATTGAAAGAAGTGGTGTTGTAAACAGTTCTCTTCCGGCGCTTCTTTTTTCAGCACCAATACCTCCTATAATAGTAAAGTAAATAATTTGATTGTTTTAGATTGTTTGAAAATATGGAAACAAATAAAGTTACACTGTAACTTACCGGAGACCTCAATTCACGCCCCAATTTACCGTAAAAATGTATTTTAACTTAAGTATCATAAATTGTTCACCCAATATAAACAAAAAAGGTTAGAAAATGTTTAAGTAAAATTGATCAACATTCAAATCTGTTTAATAATTGTTGTAACCTTTTTTCTGAATTTTTGGTTGACATATTGTTTTTTGGGGCACTGAGGAGTCGTCTGGAAACAATTACCAAATATATGTGTAAATAACTCCAGGTTATGCTCCTTATTTGTTATATTCCCTTTTGGAATTTGTTGTCTTTATTTTGTTTTGTGTAGAATATGGTTGACTTCTGGTTTTTGATTTGATGCTTTTATTTTGATGAGAGAGCTTCTACTGTTCATGTTTTGGATCGGCAACTTGGCAACAGAGGACCAGAAGACAAGTTACAACAGTGTTATAAAAATTTATCTTGTTAATACCGGCCCCCTTGATAGAGGCACAAGATGGGTTTATTTTGTAAATAAGGATATTTCTAAAATTGATTACCGTAGTTGGAATTGTGAATTTGCTTTACTGTAATCAAATTAGGTATAGTTTTAGAATCCCTTGATTTTTTTTTTGTGGTGAACGTTATTTTTAGTTTTCAAATGTTATGGTTGTAAGAGCATGATTTGTAGTTTTAACTGTCTTATTTTTTGTGTGTTTGTGCATGCAGCTCTTACTGTGAAACTCGTGGTTTAATTCCAATAAATCCTGGCTGTTAATCAGTAAAGCCACAATTTAAATTTGGGATGAGAGTGTGGGGGTGGGGTCCGGGGGTCTGCTACAATATGAATGTAAGAAGATTCATAATTCACATAACACAGAAACATTTTCAAGATGTGACTTTAGGATAGTTAGACAACAAATAAAGCAGTAGGAGTGTAATAAATGTAAACATACCTTACAACAGACAGCCAGAGTATTGGAATCCTTATCATAGTATACCGAGCCAGGTTTTTGATTCCTGTCATCTGTGTGACAAATGAAAACTACAAGTCAATACTGAAGTAATTTACAATCACCTCCAATGCACATCCACAAAATCCAAACATTCACATAACATATCTCCTTCAAGAACAGTGGTTCTGTGCTACTGTAGGATTGTTAGGGTGCTTTTATACAAGTGTCTGACCAGAGGCTTTTATAGACATCTAATCTCTATCACGACATTGGAATATAAGTACATATAAGATGCTTGTTATAGAAAAACAGGAATATCCTACCATTTTAAGCCATGTCCCAATTATTATTCCAAACTGGTACAAAACGGCATAGATAAATCAATATAATTTTGATCAAAAAACTGATTCGGTCTCAGATTGAAGTAGAATTTATAGTGAGTCAGTATGCTGCATTAGACTTGATACAACAAGGCCACTGTATAACTGTAATTATATGACACAAGATGACAAACCGCTGGTCCACTAGAAAGATAATATTTTGACAGTGGAAACAAAAATGACTAAGAACTACACAGAGACTGACGTCAAATAGATCATTGAGCACATGACTGTAGCTTAAGAGATAGGCATTTATCTTGTAACCGGTGGGTTGCATGCTGGAACTCCCACTTTGACTGCGTCAGTCATTGTGGCCCTGCCACAATCCACCCACCATGCCATGCCATGCCTGTCGGTGGTAGTCAGAGGACTCAGTGGTGCCAGTGTATGAGTCTGCTAAGGAAGCTTACTGCCATCAGTATGTGAAAGTGTGTGTGAATGGGTGAATGACTAAAGGTGGTGAAAAGCACTTTCAGGTCATTTGAGGTGATAAAGAACTATATGAGTCCAGGCCATTTACCTTTTAGATATTATTTTAACAAACGTGTCACAGGAGGGACAACTGATTTGCTCACCTTCTCAAGGGTTGTGGCCTATTAAGCAAAGGATTGGCATAAGGTCAGTAGATCATGGAAGTAGATCTGAAATGAACACTTCTCTTCAAATCTTGTCACATCAAGATATGACAAGATGTGACCAAGAGACTTACTGGTCAGTCAGTACAAGAATCGTTTCCAGAGATGCTGCTTTTGCACCGCCTGTGCCTGGGAGAAATTCGAGGCTTTATTGCACATTGAGTGCTTCAAGAAAGATCATGGGAAGCAAGAAGGGGATGAAACAATTGAAGAATGCCAAAGTCAACAAATGGTAAGAAGGAGCCATACAACTAGCCTTAAATTCCAGGCCTTGGGGTCCAGTATCCTGTAACTTTCAGGTGTGTCCCCTGTCCAACTCACCTGAATTAAACAGATGACCTCCTCAGTAAGCAATCTGAAAAGGACTTCTCCAGAGTCCTTCTAATCACCTGTTTCAGGTGTATTGAAGCAGAGATGGATAGAAAAGATGCATGACACGAGCTCTCAAACCCTGGAGTCGAAGAAACCTGGACTGAGCTTATTACTGTATGACAGTGTGACTGATGAATGTTCAGAATTTTCAATAATATAAATGCAGGCCTCTACTATAGATGTTATCTTTATGATCTATGTTAATGTGACATCATAACACTACAACTGACTGAAGTTCAATATAATTATGCATAAACACTCACACACACAAATTTACCTTGGATTAGAATATACAGATGGTCAAATTTGCACTTTACAGAGCAAATGTTGCACTAAAGTAGTGCTGTGGCAAGGTATATTCAAATAAAGAAACAATGTTCACCTTTGATTATTTCTTCTATTTGGAAAAAAGCACTTATATCTCATATTAATAAAAACACTGAATTATCAAACCGGTCACAATTGTGACAGAAAACACACTTTTTCATATATTTTCCCACAATTTTTCAAGTTTTTCCCCTTGATTAGTTCAAAGGGCTATCAATGACATCTGATTTTAATATTTTCATGTATGGGTAAATCAATTTCATCACAGAAACTACCATATTTTTTTAACTATAAGCCGCAACTTTTTTTCCCACGCTGATAGCCCAGTGTGGCTTTTCTGTGAATTTTTCTTCAACCACCAGAGGGTCGTTAGCAGGAAATGAATCAATGGGAGTCAAAATTGGAAATCAAAGAAGAAAGTGCTGATTTTCATTCAGAACAACCACAAGCTAGCAGCGAGCACAACGGAGAAATGTTTTCAAACCCATACCCCCTCATCACGAAAATCACATGAAGTTCATATGATGCCACTTTTAAGTTGAAGACTATCAATCTGGCAGTACAGATGCTGCACGGAAGCTCTGTGTGAATGAATCCACGGTTAAGCGTTGAAGATATGGAAACATATCGCACATTTATTAAGGACACAGCCCTCTGCTGCAGCCCTCCTGCAGCCCTCTGCAGCAGCCCTCTGCAGCAGAGGGCTGCTTTTCCTTGTGGAAAACCAAGAGCGACGGCGATACCAGCGGCATATAGCCCAGTGTGGTTTATATATGTACGCTTCCAGTTTTTAAAATAAAAAAAATTTGTGGGTGCGCTCATAGTGAGGTGCACTCTATAGTCCACAAAATACAATAAATTGTCAATAGGCAATTTTGCTTCAAAACAGACATCTTATGAAAAGGGATTTAGTCAAATACAATCATATGACATAAGTTACCTGAAGAATAAAATTTTCCAACAAAATCCAAAAGTTTTATAGTTTTTCCCATCCACATCGTCCTTAAAGGGATCTGAAGAGAAAAAAAAAGAATCTTTGTAACAAAATGTAATGGTGACTCAATAAAATGCACTCAAATCTTAAATTTCTTATTTTCTTACCTGGGATCCAATGGCACGAGACAAACAAGCAATTTGGTCACAGGTTTGTTCTTCCCAATTAATCCAACTCATGGATGTATTAATTTTTGGAGCTGTAAGAGTCAATTACAATCTTTATCACAAAGAAAACCTCGTTCAGTGAAGAAAAAAGCTGTACACACCCCTGTTCGTGATAGGTTTTCGTGATGTAATAAAATGAGACAGTAATAAAGTTTCCACCTTTAACATAGAAACTGGAGCGATCGGTGTAGGGGCACCTCCACCAATCATAATCCCTAAAGGGTCTTAGGAATGAGAGGTTGATCTCTACATTCTCATATAAAACATGTTTTTCAACCCATGGATTGAGTTCAAAGTTTTGGTGTCCTAAACCATTTCTGAAGTTATGCTGCCATTTGCTTAGGCTACTGGAGGAAAAACTGACAACACCTGTTCTGGCATTCCATTTGGTTCCGTTACCTGCCTAGAGGGGGACATTGGCTGAGATAAAGCTGACACCAAATGTTCATTCTCTCTCGTTTTAAGCAATAAAAGACAGCTGTGTAGGATTCCCCTCCACTCTGACGTCATTGCACTTTCTGATTGTCACATTCAACAGGCTGCATTCTGCTTCCAGTCAGAGATAAAAATAAAAAAACACAGGCTGCAATGAAAGGGCCAAGACAATGTTGAACTTGCCCAATTTTAGATAGGGGATATTCAACACATAACCACACACTGCAAGGACGTTGTAAGATTGTTGTAAGGGAAAATCGGGGAGGGGAAAAAAGAAAAAAAAGGCTTTCGCGGGAACACCAACATGCTGAAGCATTATCTGACACACAATCCCCTCCCCGACAGGCCGCAGCAAAATTTCCAAGTCTTGAACAGTCCAGGTTAATAAAAAAGTTGGGGACCACTGGTCTTGGCCATGTCTACATGTCTAATTGCATTGAGTTGTTGCCATGTGGTTGGCTGATTCAACATTTGTGACAATAAGCAATTGGTCAGGTGTGCCTAATGAAAAAGGCCCGGTACTGTTCTACTTATTATTAGAAATTTTTGTATAGGCAGAATGACAGCAAAGTAATTCATATTTTAAATCATGCAAGTGGTTTTATCGTGTCAGTGACACTTTAAAGTTGTGGACAGTTTTACATCCTGAAATTGGAAAATTTTTAATTTAGACTTTTCTTCCAGTTTAAACAGGGTGATATTTTAGTTAAAATGAACAAGTTGTGGGTCATATATATATATATATATATATATATATATATATATATATATATATATATATATATATATATATATATATATATATATATATAGCTGTAAAAGAAATTAAATGATTTATCATTGTCTCATCTTTTACATCACAGCACTGCGATCTTACTTTGTGTTTACAATTTTTACAACAACTATATATTCGATGGAGTCTAGATCCACATACCAAATGTTACACCCTTCAGTTCCTGCTCTCGTTTATTTGCAATTTTTTCAGGAAGCTTCATCAACGTATCAAGCAACTGAAAGATACCAAGTAGAACTACAATGTCAATATTTTTGTTGAAATAAATGACTACATGCATACATGCTGCATCAACTTACAAGATGTGCTCCTTTGGTGGCCAGGGCAGCTCCAAGGTCTTCTGCAGTACAGTTTTTTGGAATTTGATGGATCTCCTGGTTTAGAATGGGCCCAACATCAAACCTTAAAGATTAATACATTTGTGTTAGCACCTTTAGCATTACAATTACTTTTGACTGCTGACTGCTTAATTGTAAGTGCTTTCACTGGATAATGATGATACCACATGCTTCTGAAACTTGATGGCTTCTCTTTTTACAGGATATGATGGAGTACATTTGATTTACTGCATCCAACATATGTGGGAACTCAGTTGGAAAAAGCAGTTGTTTTGAGAAAATTGTTTTTCTGCAATGTATTTGAATTTCAGTGTTTATGCGGGCTTTTAATTTGTATTTCCTACTTTACCACCAAACATAAAGGGCCAACTGCAAAAGCTAACATTTAATTTGTCCAAGAACTGCATTTTTTAGTCTGCGTCTATAATTAGTACAAGGAGATGATTAGAAAGGTTTCCCTTTTGTTTACTTGTTGGGAAGTATCTGGATGATCGTGACTCCTGTCACAGTATCACCATGCATGACAGTGTGGAACACAGGTGCTGGACCTCTCCACCTTGGAAGCAGACTCGGGTGAACATTCAGAATCCCACTGAATCAAAATACCATGCAGAAAAGAAAAAAGAAAGTAAGATCTGACAACATGTCTTACAGTATCATCTGACAACATGACATTATGATATAAAATACTGTCTGCCCCTTAGTCATTTCCTATTCTTTAGAATTAATATTTGTTACAACATTTAATTTCCCTTCAGAATTCTTAATGGAATTAGAGAACACTTGTTGGAACTGTGCATCTGTTGAGTTTATCATACAAACTATTTCTCAGTCCAGTGCTCGAAAGCATGAATGTTAATGGTTTAAGGGAGTCACGTTGTTGCTATGACATGCTGAAGGTGGCATGTCAGAGAGTAGGAACCTCTTAGCCAAATTCAAGGCATCAAATTGCATAGTCAAATTTCTATTAAGTTATGTTATTACATAGTATTTTTATAACAACTGATTTTAATGGACTGTATTTCCCGGACTATAAGTCGCAGTTTCTTTTTCATAGTTTGGCCGGGGGTGCAACTTGTACTCCGGAGCGACTTATGTGTGGAAATTAACATAACACATGTTATTTTCACACTACACCACAAGAGGGCGCTCTTGGACTGTGTTATTCTACCTTCAGAGTTAACAAAAGTTGTTTAAAAGCGACATCGAAGACAAAGATCTAGTGATTTGGAGTGACACGGATGGTTTGGTAAACTTGTTAGCATGTTAGTAATGCTATAGTTATCTGAATAACTCTTAATATGTTGTGCTAACATCCCAGACACGTTCTCAGTTTGTTGTTCATGTGTCATGTAATGTTAGCATACCATACAATTATTCAGCCTGTTGTTACCTCTATTTTATTTTTATTGCCTTTCAAGATGACATGTCTGTTCTTGGTGTCATCTTGACACCAAGAACAGATAAATTTCCCTCAAAAATGCAACTTATACTCCGGAGCGACTTATAGTCTGGAAAATACGGTACTTGATTGTAATATAAAATGATAATATGTTCCTGAAAACTACATAATGCCTTTTAGGGTATGTTAAGGTAGTTACAAGGGCACTTATTAATGGGTGATGTCAGTACAGTCATACTGTGAGACGTTCCACAGCATGGCTCTTTCAGGGTAAAAAAAATTGCTGGATGGGTTCAAACATGGTTAATTATAAATACTCAATACTTATGCTAAATACTGACAAGGGAAACTTGTCAATGAGTCCATGATGGAGTAAACGGCCAAAAGATACCACCACTCCAACATCAAACTGTCCCTCAACATTGTGAGGGGGCCAGCTGTGAAGTGCCAGCTGGTTCTGTTGAGCAAATCTCTTCACAGGTAGATCACCAGGCAATGTAACAACCTCAAGCTTCTCCACGATGCCTTCATTTGAATTCCTGAGAAAAAAGATTAAAAGCAGAGAACAGGAGTATTTGAACTTTGCATTAGTTGAAATGAATTTATTTTACTGTATACCAAATAGCTTAGAAGAAAACTGAGATAGTGCATGTTTTTTGGAGAGCAAAACCTGCAGCAGAGCAAAAAGATCTGAACATGGGATTGGGCAGGGTATTGCTTCTTAAGATATGAATTACATCTTCATCTGACTGAAGTGGGACCACAGTTCTCACAGACATGTTCAGAAAGCATCCACACAAGTAAATAATAATTGAGTATTTTTGTTTAGTTTGATATAATATAATAATATACACAAGATTTAATATAATCTGTTGTTCTAGACTTAAAAGACACAATGAATTAACGGTATTGGATATAAATGATAGAATCTCTGCAAAAAATGAACTAGGCAGCAGCATTTTGGGGGAGCATTCAAGAGAAATTTGAGCTTTCTTTCATAGGCCACGTTGAACACATTCCTATGAGCCTAACTTTCTGTATGAAATTGCAGCTGTTGTTTTTCTGTCCTGGACTGCTTTAAATTATCATTTCCATCCATCCATCCATCCATCCATCCATCCATGGATGGATGGATGGATAATTTAAAGCATTTTCTAACACCCTTGTCTTGTGGGGTTGGGAGGGGTGCTGGTGCCTATCTCCGGCTAACGATTCAGGCGAGAGACGGGTTACTCCCTGGACAGGTCGCCAGTCTGTCGCAGATTAATTTAATTTAAACTCATCTATTTAAATAAAAAAGGAGATCTCAGTTTCCATTTGTCAAATTTCTAAAGCTCACCCTCACAAAAAAGGTAAATAATTTGTTGCATGACTTTTTTTTTGCAGTTTTTAATTTTGCAGTCTTTGTATTAAATATAACAAGTGAAATGCATTTCTTGAACTAATCAAATATTTAACTACACAATCTACAGGATAAAAGCTGCTCCAGATTTTTTTAAGCACAGCAACCTGAAGCAAACTAATTATAAATGCAGTGATTCTTGAGATTATGGACAAAATGGCTTTAAATTATCATAGGTAATTATTCATCAAGCTTATGTATTCAAATATGGCAATGTTTTGGAACTCTGAAGATGATAAGGTGCAGGTGCTATTTTTTTTTATTACATTTTTAATGGGCCTGACCCAGAACTTTGTCAACACCATCTGACAAAAATAAATATTAAATTATTTTAATGGCCCTATTAGTGATATTTTACTCAGTTTTATAGACAAATGTTTTTTAAGAAATTAAAGAAATATTATTTAAAACAAAAAATAAGTCCATCTGACAGAGTTGACAGTGCATGACGGAGTTGACACAGAACAGACAGAGGTGACGAACTAGTGAGTGAAAAGAAAGACTTGATGCAGTCCATTTATGTAAAATACATTAAAAAGAATTAACTGCACATTTAAGTGAGATTTGTCAACACTTTCACTGAGTCACACTACAGGGCAAACGGAGACAGACAAGACAAATACGCTCACACCTCGGGAGAATTTAGAAAGACCAATTTACCTGAAAGTCATGTTTTTTTGTACTGTGGGAGGATAGTAATCATTATTTCTTGTTATTATTTTCCCACTAATTTTAGTACTTTGTTCTAGTCCCTGTATTCATAAGGCTCTGTTAACAGCAGGAGTTGTGATATTTGTTGTGCTAATGTTTGTTATTGACATGTTGTTTGAGATTGTCATCGTTATTCTGGTATATCCAATTTTTTAAAAAAGTCTGACGTTGTTGACAAAAACCAGGGACACAATTTCAATTGTTGGAAAATATAAAAAAATATTTTTAATTCAACTTATTGATACTTCTATAATTATGCAGTTGAAAACTTGTACTTAATTGTTATAAGATATTATTTTAGTATTTCTTTAATTGTTTTAAACCATTACAATATTTTCAGTTCTGCTCCTGGACAAGGACTTTTACAGACACCATCCACCTACTGCATCGATTAAAATGAACAAATATTCAGAAAACACCAGGAAAACATATATAGCTAAGTTAATTATTTGAAGAAATTATATTTTGTGCATATTTTTATTCAAATTCTGTGCTTTATCCAGAGAACATGTCTTGTTCCTAATCTCAAGAATCACTGCATGTGGATTTCTGTAAACTCTTAACTGAGGTTGATAAACTCAAATTTTAGATTATATTCCGAGTCTCTGGGGAAAATCGGGGATGTTTCAGATTAATTCTGGTCAAATCGAGCCTGGTTGTTGCACAAAGAGCAAAACGGTTGACTCAACACTAGAGAGGTCGTGAAAACTGCAAGCTGACTCTCTCGAGGTAACCAGGAACAGATTCAGTGCAGAACATCGAGACTTCCGATACCTGGAAAGATTCAGCAGTTTGAGAGACTCCACAGCAAACTGGTCAGAACCGAAGAACAGGAGCCTCCAGGACAGCCTTGATGGTCCTAGTTTACGGGAAGACTGCGTGCGGACATTAGTGCTGGGGCTGAACTTCAGCACATTCAAAACATAGCTGAGGGTTTTCAGGAAAACTCTATCAGTCTTTCTGTTCATCCACATGGTAAAACGGTCTTTTTTTCTGCAAAACATGTATCCAACTTGCCGGTCCTGCTCAGAAACCGACCTTATTACCCCCTGTCTGAGCCAAGCAGCGCCATGTCCTTCAGAAGGCTCCTTCTTCCTCCTATTCGGGCGGTTTACTTCCACATATTATTGTGTTATCGCCGCCTGCAGGACGTGACATGCATGCACGTTCTACTCGTATGAAAAAATTCTGGAACATTTGGTTTGCAAACAGTGAAGGTAATTTGCTAAGCCTTCAAATCAATGAACATTGATGAAGTTTTAAAACGCATCGCGTTTTGTGGGTTTGGTGGTTTATTTTCTAAACAGTTCAATCTATATGTCAAGGACCACAAGTCAAGAAATTAAAGCTCTCAGAATTAAATTAATCCATGATCAACAAAATTATTATGAATGTACTCAATTGCATTTCCTTGAGTAACTTTGAAAAAAAAAACTTTTAGGAGTACTTTTATGACACTGTCCTTTTACTTTCACATGAATAATTTTATTATGAAAAATTGCTACCCTTACTTGAGTAAGATTTATAGATTATACACCAAATGAATGAAAAACAAGCACGTTTCCTCCAAAATTTATTGAGAATGACAATGCTATTACATTTTATCTGCCTTTCAGCAGAGATAAAGTAATTAGAAAATTTACTTTGTAAAAATGCAAAGAATCATAGTTTTGACCATAGCTACAATCTAATACTGTCTGTGTTCTTTATGTTTGAGCTGGGTTTATTCACAAATACATCACAGCAAATAACAGTGTCAGTGATTGAGTTTAAGCTAGCCAATAAATCTGGAACCACTTTCACAGACTTCACTACATTCTACCTGTGGAAGTTTTGTTTCGTCAGTTTTATTTTGTTGAAGATTATGATAAGCTATATTTAATTCATTTTATACCTGGTTTTCATGAATCTGCTGTACTGCTTCATGATCACAGGTAACATGTAGACATATTTATAAATGGTTTTAGTTTGCTAGCTATAATATTGTTACTATACTGTACACTGTAAACAATTAAAAGGAGGAATGTGGTGACTGCTGTGCAGGCCAGTAAGCAGGTCAGTAAGGTGGCTACAGAGAGGAAGGTGGTGTCGGATAGCAGTGACACTGAAAGCTGGTTCTCTGACACCAGTGAGGTATCTGTATCTCAATCGAGCAGTAAAGAACCGAGGTACCCTGTAGAATATTTGAGAACATTTTTACAGCAAACTAAAACATTGAGAGGAATAAAAATCAAAAATTCTTATATTAATTTAAGATTATTTTATTTCTCAGCAAGTTATCACATCAGGAACAAAAAGGTATCAGGTTTTACGGATCAGGAAGTTCTTAGATTAAAGAAAATAATGTCCAAAGCAAGAAAACAATTTCGATTAAAATGATGCATAATGTCACTTTAATATTTGTATAAGTTTTTGGTGTTTTTGCCTTCTTACCCAGTTTGGATTCTTTTAAAATAACATCTTTGAATCTGTTGAGAAGACACAAGTAAAAGCTTAGGGAAGCATCAATCATATGATATAAGTCAAGCACTCCTGAAATATTTAAGCAGTCTTGATGGACCCATGTCCAATCACCTCCCTCACAGCCAAACACACTTCCTCCACACCGCAGGAGAACCAGCACCCACCTTGATGCCATTCGTCCATGTCAGCATGGAGTAAGTCCCAACACCAACTACCAGGCTGGCCTCAGATGCCGGCCAGCCAGGCATGCCTGACGGCCACACCTGAACTCAAAAAACCTTAAACGTGAGACACTAACACAAAATCACAACTAAACAAGTAACATGAAATACCCCCAGTGAAAAGCAGGAAAAGACCAAAGAAAGAAAATATACAAACACTTGCTGTCTCACCCTTCTTCTGCTCTTCCACTCACACCCTCCTCTCACACGAAGAAGAAGAAAAGAAAGAAGCACCCTTAATTTATATGGGGAAGAGTTAGAAAGGGTTAACTGTTTTCATTTTTTGGGAGAAGTTTTTTTTCTTTTCATAAGAAACTGACTTGGGAAAATCACATAAACATATGGAGAAAAGTAAAAAGGTTCTTAACATTATGAGTGGTTTACCTGGGTTTATGTGTCACTAATTCAGTCAAGAATCGATTGCGGAAGTGTGGTGGATGGTTCAGCGGCTAAAACTAGGTTAAAAAAAAGTAGATGTTATTCAAGCTAGTGCATTGAGAATTTGTTTAGGGGCAGTTAAATCAACTCCATGTCCTTTACAAATAGAATCTGGAGAAATGCCAGAATGTATCAGAAGACCACAGACAATGATTAATTATTGGATAAATTTAAAAGGACATAATGAAAATCATCCAGTTAAGAAAATATTGGAAAATTGTTGGGAAAGAGGAAAGGAGCAAAGTAATAGTTTTGGGTGGGTTGGGGATGCCAGAGCAAAAACACTGAATGTATAGAAGAAAGAATTTAGTCCAACAGTATTGTGGCCTTTGAGACCTACATGGACATAGAAATATATTAATATAGACAGAAGAACAGTATCAAATATTAAGGAAAGAAATCTAACAGATATTTTCCAAGAATTTTATAATCAAATGCAAAATAAATTTATGATTACTTGTAAATTTATACTGATGGTTCGAAAGACCCAAAAAATGAAGCAACCAGTATAGCAGTAGCGATTCTTGAATTAAAGATAAATATTTCAAAAAGAACATCTAACTGTCTCAGTATATATGCAGTAGAATTATGTGCTATATCATTAGCTTTAGAATGGCTGGAGGACACTAATATAAATTAAATAATAGTAAATAATTATTCATCATCTGCATTGTTGAGTATTGAAAAAAAATAATCAAAATATATTATATGCAGTTATGGCTGGTCATCACAGAATATGTGAACAAAATAAAAATGTAATATTATTTTGGACTCCTGGTCATGTTGGTATTTTGGGTGATGAAAGAGCAGAAAGGTTGGGTAAAGAGGCTATTAACAAATAAGATATTGATATACCAATAAAGTTATCTAAATATGGAAGCAAAAGTACAATTTGGAAAGAAGATATGGAAAATTAGGAGGGATAATGAATTAAATAGAAGCATATATGATACAAAATCCAGTTGGTGTAGTAAAGATCAGAGGAATAAACAGGAGGGAGGAGACGACTATAAAGAACTGGTCACAATTTTTTAAATGGGGAAACATCTTACTGGTTTATGGAGTTGGTGTAATACTGTAGAAATGATGGAACATGTTTTTATTCGTTGTACGAAATATGTAAATCAAAGGATATTATTGAAAACGGAATTAGGTTTTAATAGGAAATGGAAATTTCCTATTATAATTTCCTGGTTGATGAGTTAAATAGTATTGGAGGCGAGGGGAAGAAGAATGTTTGTTTTTTAAAAACATACTAGGATCATTATGAGAATTTGTGATGTAGATATTATATCCAACAGATGGCAGTAATGCAAGCTGCCGTTAAAATCTAAAGAAGAAGAAGGACCCTTCCCTGATGAGACGTCATTGCGAATCACATGACAGGTCACCGTCTCTGCTTGTACTGAAAAACCTCCTGCAATCATGGTAAGCACTATCTAAATTCAAAGTATTGACCTGTATTTAACATTACCATTAGTGGTAAGGGACATTTTTTAAACAATGATGAAGAAATCAGCAGATGTTAATTATGCTTCGGGTGATCTCGGCTTCCGATTCCTTTATTCGATCTTTTGGCCTAACGCTGCGCACATATCAGCTAGCTGAGCTAACCTCTGCTGATAAACTCATTAAAACATCCCGTCTGAATGTTTGCAGATTTATTTAGCCCATGTTGTAGTGATATTGTGTTCTTATGCTTAGTTTGTTCGGTCAGTGTTTTTCTGGAAGATAAAAGCTGAGTCTGTCAGAGAAAACGTTAGCATGTATTAGCTGAAGCCACAGCTCTGCTGGATCTTATAAACTCTTGTGGACTGGGTTGGTTTCCTCATCTTGGACAATCGGTCTGTGTTCCTATCCAATTTCTAATTGAAATTTATTTGGACAGAATGCACGGCTACATATATCTGCCTGTACATTATTTTTCTGTATTTTTCTGCGGTGTTATGGTTTAACTGGTTGCGAGTTTATCTGGTTGAAACCTACGCGCACCGCAGACTGTAGATGGCTGCGTTAATGCCTGTTGGAGAAATGTTACCTGTCGCAAAAAACTTTGCTGTCATTTGACGTATATATAATGCCACACGTTAAAATTATGTTTAGAAACTATTCTTTCTACAGAATAACAGTCAGTGTTATCACAACATTTGAGCATAACCAGATAAATGAGCAACACAATCTCATTCACCAGAATAAATCAATTTAAACTCATGAATCGTCGCAATGTAAACCTAAGTGAACAGTAGGGATGTGGTAAATGGCATTAAATTCATATCACAATGCATATTGTGATAACAATATATACCAATATATAATTTGTAGAAAACTTGCAATAGAAACAACTAATCACATACAAATTGAGTGGAATGTCTATATTTATAAAAACTCATTCAACCCTTGTTTTTGTAGCTATATGATGTCTGTAACAGTTTTGTTTTATGTTGCTGCCTATAGGATGCAAAAGCATACTCTTAATGATGACTACCTGGTTAAAAAAATCTCTCCTCTCTCTGTATGTATAAACTAATCCTGCTCAAATGCTGCTTTTTCTTCCCAGTCTTGTGACTGAAACTTGTACTTAGCTGCATTGCTGGTATTCAAGCACATGCTAGTTTTAAGGAGGTGAAACAAAATACTTGTATTTCCTCTCTTCCACATTCTTTTCAGATTACAAAGAATGAGTTTCAAAGCTCTAATATGTAACTTTTTTGAAACCGTGGACTTCGCCTGAATATTTAAACGAGCCTTGCAACCGTTGCTCTCTGCTGTGTCACGCAATCTTCCCTCCATGAAACCTCCCGCACAAAGAAGACGAGCTCATATATAACAGATGATTTCGTCCTCTGTGTCTGCTGAAATGTCTGACCTGTTGAAAAAGGAGAAATAATTGGATGGTTTCCCCCAGAAATGTTGCTAAGCCCAGTGTTTGGGGTGCTGAGGCAGTCCCATTGCCAGTCCCAAGTGTTTTTGTATTA